CGTGCAAAATGCGAGGCAATCAAAATTTGTTATGCCGCGAAATTTATGCTCGAACCGGGCGAGAGGTCTTTAAGCGATGGGTTTTCTAAATTATGCAGAATTTCCGAAGGTGGAATAATCTTGTGGCAACTCCCGCGAATACTTCAGGTTGCAGCACACCTGGCGTATACGTGATGCAGCGCATGAACGTTGCGTATACGACGCGTGGTATGCCAGAAAATGTTTTCCGACACTTAACAAATTTCTTGATAACTTTATCAACAATTTACACCAGCAAACAATTATTATTTTCTTATTGGCTTAATTATGAGCAAAGGGTTGCCTTTGGTGCTCACGACTATCAGTCATCTGAGGAATGGCCACTTAAGCCTTGGCGAGGACAATGCCTTATGGGCCATAAGCTAATGTAAGCCCCTGGGCGTGGGGCCAACTGACAAAAAAGGAAGAGGGCCATTAATTCCCAGACAACGCCAGAGCAGAGATACAAAGTTCTGCATATGCCTTGGTCTGACAATGTCCTCGTGTGCTGGGACAACCCTTAAAGCAACTTCAGATCTCCGGCTCCCCGATATATAATTATGCAAATGCCCGATCCCAGCTGAGGGCTAAGAGAACCCAACCCTTGTCTGTCCTTTAGCCCGGCTATCGGTGTCAAATCGAAGTTTAACAGCAGGAGAGAGAAGCTGTTGTGTGTTTGTAAGCACAGGATAAATACACTACCTTTCCTGTTGAAAGTAATAAGTTTTTGGGATGTCGATATTTTCTAAGTAAAAAACTATCATTAATTTATTTAAAATATTTATTATACTCGTATTTATCCTCTATTAAAATACACTGTATAAGTGCCATCGACTTCCGTCGGTAACCACACCAATGTTACGAACCATTTAATAATGTTTATGTATCCGTTGCGAGGTCCTCGACTCGACAACCCTTGGCCACTCACGTTGCAAGAAAAAAGGCAAACGGCATCAACGTTTATTTAGGTTTATGGTCCTGGGCTTAATACAGCACGTGGGCCACGAGTGCTTTAAATTCAGCCAAAATTGGCATTTAATTTGATTTGCTCACGAGTGCGGTTCACCGACACCGCGTCATGCCGGGCCGGGCTTTGGCCAAAAACAAATGTCAACCGGTATTTAAAAAGCAACTGCATGAGTGCAAAATGCTGCTCTAGTGGAAAACAAACTAAAGCCGCTGCCTGGTTGCGTGTTCCGGTCGACTTCATCGTTTTAGACTCCTCCTCCTGCCTGGTTCCTGCGAGTGGCCACATTTAAAATTAATTAAAACTAATAACATTTTGAAGCACTTAGTTCCACACTCGCGCACACCCGAGTCTGCACACGCACACACATGCTCACGAGCCACTCCAGTGACGCCATTTTGTCGTGGATTGCATAATTAAAAGGCTCGCAAATGGCTGGCCATTTCCGGTGCTCAGCCGGCCGTAAGTTGTGCTTTAATTTAAAGCAGCCGCGATACATTTTCAAATGTCCACCGGCGGCGTTGCCATATTCTGTATCTGCCTCCTGCCCCACCAGCAGCGCCCTCTCAAGTTTTGCCTCGCAACGCTGTCAAAAAGTTTTAATTTGAAACGGAAACGCGAGACTCGAGGCAAGCCGGCTAGCTGGCAAGCTGGCCATTGCCGTAGCTACTGGTCATTGTCCTTGCAGCAGTCTGATTCCAGCCCCCAGCATCCTGCCACCTCATTTCAGACGTACTGACACTCCCACCCCGCGGCAAATCACATTTAACGTGGTAATTATTTATATTCGCGTTCTCTGGCACATCATCGCCAGCATTTTGGCGTCATTAAAATCGTAAATCTAATGGCCAAGCCGGTCCTGTCAACGCCCAGTCGCGTTGTCGGTGGTCACAAATAATTTGAATTATGGCATATTCTGTACGCAAACTCTATTGGGAATGGGGAGAATAATTTCTCTAGTGGATTCTCTGTCAGCGCCAAAGCTTGTTGGAATTCCTGAAATGAAAAATTTCCATGCGTAAGTTGTGCTATTTTTAGACACTTTGTAGTTGTAAAATATAAATAGCTAAAATATTTGAATGGGTTTAGTGGGCAGAAATTGAAATAAAAAAACTATTCTGTCAGAATATCAGATATTTACATAAATGAATTTTATTTGAAAAGTCTAGATTTATATTTTTATGCGCAATTGACCTTTGTTCTTCCAATTAAATTGGATTGAGTAATCACGCTGTGTTGGGCCATTGCTATTGCCGAATGGATCTTTGGCATTTAGACTTGCCCCAATTGCATTGGCCGATATAAGCCCCCAAAAAAAAGCGAATTATTTACCTGTTTTTCATTTTTTTTTGCTCCTACTACAGGTTCTGCTTTTGCTGCCCCATGGCAACATCAAAGCAGGACCAACCAAGGCAATGTTATCTCTTCTTTGATACCTAATAAGCCATCGCTGGGCGGTTGGCTGCTGAAGCAGGTGTTCGATCTGCTCGAAAGGTCACACGCCCAAACGAAAACCTTCACCCAGAAGCCTACACACCCAGTCCCGGGACCCAGGACGCAGCTGATTTACATCAGTTTAATTAGTTGCTTATTTGCATAAGCCCTGCGAGTGGGAGACCGGGATGGCTGGACAATCAGAAACATGCGTAACATTATTTGTTTAGGCAGTGTTAGGGTTTTTAATCATATTCTTACCAAAAACTGTTCCGCCACACAACAAAGGCCGTCGCCTAATCCAGGTCTTTGCACCGTTTTCATGGTCACTGTGAATTTATGGCCATTAGGTTTAGCACTTTTTGGCAGCCCATTGTTGCCCATCTCCAGCTCCTGCCATCTAAAGCTCCCGCTGCTGTTCCTACTCCTGATCCAGCTCCTGCTGTGGCACTGCCCTAATGGCTTATTATGATTATTAATTCATAACGCAGCCATGCTAGTCGTGTAGCAACAACCAGTAAAACAACTATAACTACAACAGCACTTTAACACACGACACAGCAGCATAGCGACAGCAAACACTTGTTTGGCCACAGCCTCTGACTCACATCCGCATTGGGCAAAAATGCGATCCTGGCATGCTACTATGATGGAAAATTAAACATGAGCACGGATACACAATAAAAACAAAGATAAAGTTTGCTTAAAAAATAAAAAGAACCTTCTTAAACTAAAAATTCATAATGAATATAAATAGTAAAAGGAATACTATTGAAGCTATGGGGTTTTCAAAGTAAGAATCAGTGTTTCTTCCTCTAAGAAGGTTAACTTCCTATTTTTAAATTGAATAAAATAAACATTCTTTTTATTGTGCAACATTAAACACATCACTTTGAATCAAAGGCCTTTGAAATGAAGTGTAAATTTACTTTTATGCGTGGGCGCCTTTTTTTCAGTGTGGGCTGAATGTGGATTTTTGGCGGATGGGTGGACCATCGGACGATGGGAGCGGGCTTTGTGCGTTAACCAGGCCAATAAAACATGTCCCTGGCTGTGTGGCTGTGGTCCGGGTTCCGTGGTTTGTTCAGCACCACGGCCATGCTGTGTGTATGTTTTGGCTCCCGAGAGTATGCAACAGTTTTGGCCCCAGTCTCGGTTTCCGTTTTCTGGCTTTTTTGATGGCCGCTCGTCTAGGCACTTTTAGCGTCGCACTCGTTTGTTGATTTTGTGGCGCTAATAAAGCATACACGCACTCCAATCCCGATGCTCGGCTTAAGATAAAATTATAATTAAAAAAATGGCTGTTCTCGGTGGTGGTGGCAACACATTTTTCACAGAAACCAAAGTCCTGTTCGGATTTTTATGCGCTCTGCGTGACTCCTTCACTGACACATCATCACACTTGCCACCCCGACCACCACGTGGTATTTACATACGCATCCATGTGCTCTGCTGGGCCTTCTGTTTGTTTTATGTGTCAGCAGCTCGGCCGTGTTTTATGGCTCTCGCCTGCCAGCTGTGCGTTAATATTAAGCAGGCAGCCCAAGGACAAACTCCAGCGGAGCCCGGCTATCCAAAAAGCCCCTATATCCCCAAAGTCCCGGACATGGTGGGGCCTCTAACTTAATTTGCTAACCGGGCATCGACTTACGTTTGATTGTCAATTTAATTAGAATGCCCAGTTTTACGTAACACGTACGCCATTTGCATAATTTACTCGCAGTTTGAGGTTCGTGGATGCGACATTTAATTAGAACGGCTTTGTCCAATTCAAAATTGATCGAATTAATAAAGACGAAGCGTGCCGGCTGTCAAATACAATTGTACTAGCGGTTAAGGGGCTTAAGACGGGGGAAACAATGATTTATGGAAAATATTAAATATATTTAAGATACTCGAAATGGGCACTCTTTCAATCCACTTGTTAAACAACCACAAAATAATGTACATTCATGTTTTAATTTATTTTAAGCTTAAATTTCATGCACATCCTGATGCAATTTGTCTCATAACTACTTAGTTTGCTTTAAGTTTTAAAAGATCTTTTGTACACGAACTTGTTGTGAAATTGTTTGCCTAAAACTAACCAAAATCTTTAACCAAATTAACCAAGTTTAATTCGAAAATCGATTTAATTGCTACTAAATCAACTAATGACAATTTTTTGTATGTTCTTTTTATTCTTTGTCTCTTTCCATTCAATTACACACACATCACGCACACGCATACCCTCCACACTCACACTCTCCCACACCGACACTCCAATACGCTTGCCACTTTCTTTGTCTCGCTATCTCGTTCTTGCTCTCTCTCTCTCCTGCTATCTCGCTCTACCTCCCACGACCCCCCGCTATCTATCATGTTAACTTTTGTAACGTGTTTTCGTTTCTTAACCAACAATCTAACTAAAATGTCTATGCGTCTGTCACGTAATTATGTTACCAACCCGAAAACCCCGAAAATTAAAACCAAAAAACCACCAACCGGCCACCCACCACAACAACAACAACAAACCATACAATGACAACTACAACAACAATACATCAACTTTTACCACAACAAACAACAACAATAACAACAGGCTCTTGCGCGCTGAGTTGTATGCGTTAAGGCGCAAGGGTGCGGCTAAGGTCGTTGGTGGAGTGCAGCCATTTGATGCCACACAACAACAACAACAACAGAATATTACAATGCAGCCCAATCAACAACATCAACAACAACAACAACAGTTTGAACAATACAACAACCACAACGCACACACGACAGGCGACCCGAGTCGCCACTGCGCTCGCTGCACCACCGAACTGGGCCGCATCACCAACCGTGGCGCCCCCTGTCGCGTCTGCAAGTTGCGCGTGTGCAAAGCCTGTCGCGAGTTCACCTCGCGCACCACGGACTGGGTGTGCGTGGTGTGCCACAAGCAAATGTAAGTCTCTCTCTGTCTCTGACTTTCTCTGTCTGTCTTTCTTTCTGTCTCTGTCATTTTTCCCCATCTCTATATGTGACCCCCAACCCAACCACACACGAAAACTAATCCAAAACAACACAACTTTGTGTCCTTTTGTCCTTTTGGAGATGTGTATGCAACGGTATGCTAATATGCCCTTTGAAATGTCCTGGTTATTGGGTATTTTCATTAAGCCAGTCATTATCAAAACTACTAATTGCATACGACTTGTTGTCCTCTTGGTGTTTTGCAATAAAATAAATATTAATATTTCTGTGTGTTTTGTTTGCATTCAGCACTGCATTGTTTGGGCTTAATTAAGATGAATGAATATTTATACTCAAATCTAGCAGATCTAGGGGGATCTATCATATATTATTTCATAGATTAAGTAATCTCTCCATCCTGTTTAGTAGTTTAAGACTATCTCAATTTTTGTGGACTTTCAAGGGCACTTGCAATTCGTATACCTTCTTCTTTATGTGCACTGTATGTTTTGTCCCCCCTTGTTATTGTTTTCACTTTGTCATTTTTTTTCTAAACTTGACTTTGTAGCGCAAACGCTGCAATTTTCATTGTTGCAATCTAATTTTGCATGCCTTTTTGTTTGCTTTTTCGAAAGCTGCACTTGTTGTATAATCCGAAAACAATGTATAAGCCGTGCGGAAAAAGGGTCGTATCTTTAGCGGAGATGTACCAAATATTATTTCCAGGAATGGTTTATTTTCCCCTCACCTCAACTGAAAGGTGATAGAGAAGCGAGTGGTCTTTAGAGCAAAAGGGTTGTGTTCTACAGTTTCTGTTTATTTTTCATTTTAGCCCGACGTTGCCCATGGCCATCAGGTGTCACAGACTGTCAACTGATGCTCCGCATAACTAATGCGGAAGATTTTTGGTTTGTTTTTCGGTTACAGTTGCCTGCCGCCTGACAGCTTTGAATATTTGATACGCAAAAGTTTGTTTTTACTACTTTTTTGTTTCTGTTTCTGTTTTGGCATGGGCTTGCAGTTTTTTGATTGCCCATGTGGCATGAAAAACGGCTTTGCACTTACATACGTGTATGCAAATAGCCCCAACATTTGGAATTCAATTTGCACGTTTTCAAGCTGGGGGAGCTGAAAGATAATTCCTGTTATTTTTAATTTCCCTCCCTTTTGCCATTTATCATTTTGCAATTTAAGTAGCACTTTTGTTGGCAAAAAGGGGAGATGCTGCCATTTTCATATCGAATTCGTACCAGACCTCAGAGATCGATGCCAAACGTGCCCGTTCAACCAATATGAAACTGTCAACAAGTGCTCCATCGGTTTAATGAGCTTCACTCTCGGTTCTGTCCTCATTTCGCCAACATAAACATGAGCAACCACACATTACACATACGCCCTGTGTTGCCACAGCATCACAGCAGCTCATGCTGATGTTGCCGAACTTGAGCCAACATTTGGCAACCGAACAATTGCCGTCGATGATACCGGCGACCCACACGCTCCGAGGAGAGTTCAGCTCAGTGTTAATGGGCGAGCCCAAGTCCCAATTCCCCAAAAACAACTGAGAAATGCCCGTATTGAGTGCACAAGGCCAGACGCCAGATATTTAAGTAATTAAATCTTGGCCAACTTGTCGGGCGAAATACTTGCACGCAGCTCGTACTCTTAATTTTTTTTAATATGCAAATTTCATAAACCAAGAATCCAGCAGGTCGCCTACAGGTGCCTACCATTTAACGCCTTCAAGTACGAAACCAGTCGCCTGTCAACACGGATGACGCACACCAAGTTTGGCCGCGTCTGCTGCAGCTGCCGGATAATTGTGAAGACGATGAGCCCAGCCCAGCATGTCTTTGAAATGAATAGAAGGCGTCACTTGCTGACTGCCTGGGTCTCAGAATTTACCATTACCTTGCTCCGTGCGAGTCAGAGTCTCATTTGGAATTTATTCGATTGCCTGACTGCACCCCCAAATTGACTTAAAAAGAGACTCTTTCCTCTCGTCAACGATTCGTGGAATATTTATAAGGCAAAGGAAACAAGAATTTATGATTCTATTTCTAATAATAGTACTTGGATGTAGCAGTGCATATACCCAATTAAAGTTGCAACTGCTATCAGAAAGGTTTAATATAAATCTAACCAAGTTCCGGTTAAAGTTTATCCTATTCATTAAATATTTAATTATTTCTTTTGAGTTTGAGCCTCGAAACTTTTTCATTGGGGTTTTTGTGGAAAAAGTTTTCCTAAAAATATATATACGTTTGTCTATTTATGTTAACCCCATGAGAGTATACGCGTTGTCTGCTCCAACTCTTCCGATTACACACACCTTCGCCTCAAAGAGTAGGTGTCTGATGTTGCTGCTGCGGCTTAAGCTGTTGCTGTTGGTGTTGGTGTTGTGCCACAGACAATCCGGTGAGGCTTTCAGCCAGCCAGTCTGCCGCGTGCTGCTAACTCGGGCAGACGTTGATTCCGTTGACTTCGCTAATTAGCCTGTTGATTTGTCGGCAACTCTCAACTCAGTGGCTCGGGGGAAATGTTTGGCGAAGTTTTCTGGTTCCTAAAATGGCAATGTTGTTGCTCTTGCAGGGAGATTCAAACGGCCAGTGGCGAGTGGCTAAAGGACACCTATACCTTGGGATCCTGCAGTGCCGTGGACCATCTGACCGCCAGTGACGTTTTAAGGAAGAGCATTCGTCGTTCTTGGACTATATCGAGTGAGTAATATGTATCAAGCTACTCTTTAATCATTGTGATCTGGATGTTTGTTAAATAATTAAAAAATAAATGATATTCTTTAAAAAATACTTTTAAGTTTGTTTATATTTTAAATTAATATATCTCCTTCCCACAGATCCCGAGGACGATCCAAACAATCCAAACGCCCAGCAGCCAGTGGCCGACAACCTGTATCCCCAGCAGCAGCATCTTATTGAAGCCCAATCAGCCGGCAGCTATCCCACCTTGCACCAACACCATCAGCAGCATCACCTGCCCCCACAGCCGCGTCCCACGACGCACGGCATCAATTACGGCAGTGGAACTGCCACGCCCACTACCAGCAGCAAGTGGCAGCTGGGGCGGCGGGTCCTGCGTCAATCCACGCTGCCGAGCAGCCTGAACAACGACCCAAATCTCAGCGGCAGTGGCTCCAATTTAGCAAACTACAATTCAGTAAACCTAACGGCGCCCACATCGCCGCATCAGCTGCAGAAGAGCCCGCTCTATCCGAGTGCCTACAACAGCGACGACGTCATCCACATGAACACAGGAGGAGGCGGTGGAGCTGTTCCAGGAATCGGAGTGGGCGTGACAGTGGGAGATTGCGATAACTACGCACAACAGCAACAGAATCAATCCCAACAGCAGCAGCCTCAGCTGGAGGTCACGCCCACACACCACCGCCTGCAGGTGCGCCGCCAATCGACGCTACCCGCTCAGCCCACGCCGGCCATTTACATGTCCACCTCCCCAAATCGCCTGTACAGTCGCTCCCCGGAAAGGTCTCCCGGGGAGCAGCAGCGCTATCCGCCGTTTATTCGCCAGACTTCGTTCCCGGAGCCACCGAGCGCCTATCATCGGAATAAGTTGCTGCCCCAGCAACAGCCGTCTGCCATATCCGTATCAGGAAGCGGTACAACAGGAAGCACGGCCCCACCGTTGAACTACGAATCGCAGGCTTCCAGCATGGCCAGTGATGAACAGGACTCGATTCCCATGCCCAAGCCTCGGATGACCCGCCAGGCCACCCTCCCAAATCCCGAGCAGCATGTCAAGCTATTGCCCACATCGCCGCCAAAGCGGCAAACCTCGCCGCAGTTCCGGCGCTCACCGGAGTTCATGCGGCAGCAGACCCTCCCCAATCCGGAGGCCTTCACCAGTGGCAACACCCTGACCGTACATTCCAATCCGCCCGGCAAGTTTATGCCCATTTCGCCGAGGGCCAAGCAGAACTTCCTCTTCCCCAGTGTCCAGAACCCGCGGCAGTTTCTGTCGCAGCAGCACGTCCCCACTGTGGGCGGCACTGATATGGGCAGCGGCGGAAGTGTGGCCAGTGGCAGTGGCGGGGGCACCGGCGGCGAACAATACTCCAGCAGCCAGAGCGTGAATATCCACCACTCCCGAGATCCGCACTCCAAGATGATCAAGGTGCGAAGCCACAGTAACGAGGAGTACTCCAACACCAAGGGGCATACTGAAAGCCGGAGGCTGCTGCCGGAGATTCCCTCGTCGGTACAGCGGTCGGCCAGTAGGTCGCCCAGTCGGCTGGTCCGCCAGGACTGTCTAAAGGAGGAGCGCACCTTTGGCGAGGCCAAGCAGCAGTTCCATCAGTTTCCCGATGTCAGCGAGGAGATGGAGAATCAACCCGAGTACGTGGACTATTTCGGAGACAGCACCACAAGTTTCCTAGAATCGGACGAAGTGCAGTACGAGCGGAACTACAATGCCGGATTCAGCAGTGAGCCGCGCATCATTTACAACAACGGATCGGATGACGGAAGCTACCAAAATTCTGCCCAGAGGCCCATCTACAGCGCAGAGAATGTCCTGGCCGATTCGGGTTACGGCGGGGGCATGGGTCTGGGAGCTGGCGGTAGCTCTGGTGCAGTGCCCGGGTACTATCCCGATACAACAACTACCCAGAGCTACTACGGTGGCGCCGGCCTGCCGCGCACCCCACTGATGCACAACCGAATGCGGCGACGCCAGTCAAGGGAGTTGCAAATGCAACAGGAGGAGCTGGCGCAGCTCTCACAGGCCACAGATACCGCCGGAGTGGGCGGGGGAGAGATAGGCGGAGACAGTGCCGCCACCGGAGCTATCGGATCAGATGGCCATGTCACCGAGAGACGAAAGCCGGAACAGATGCGCTCTGTCTCTGAAGATTCGGGCGCCAAAACTACTCCAAAGCCAGTCACCCGACGCTCCTTCTCCCATCCTGAAAAGGACACTCAGGTACGTACCGAAGAGCATTCGATTTATTAAATCCAAAATCGAACTTAAGTTAGTTTCAATCTCGGAAGTTATTCAACTATATAATTCCTCTACTTCAGCCCCCCAAGAAAACGGAAGCCTCAAAGATTCCGAGCCCGAGGCCACTGGCAGACATTCTGGATAAAACGCGTGGCACCTCGAAAATTCCGCAATCGAGGCGCCGCAACAGCCGCACGGGCATCGGCGAGGCCGAAGAGCGTGAGTATTGTAGAGGATTGAACTTTTATATTGAGTAGCTATGGTTGCTTTTGGCTTCCACGCATCAGTAGAGTCCAGGGACCGCAATTATAATAACTAGTACTAGTACTACTCCAAGCACCCAGTAGACATTTCACTAATAAACTATTTCATTAAATATTTGGACACATACAATATACATTTGTATAATCTACAAAACCGCACAAAATTTTCATTTCACAGACACTACTTTTTGTAAAAATACAAGAGTGAATGTACATAGCCTTAGGCATTCAATTATCCTGCAAATATTTAGACAATAATCCCAAAATGTATTTAGCTTAAAAAAAACTATAAACGGGTCTCACTATACAGACAATAGAGAATACTAGATTTGTATAAAAAAAACAGCCCCTGTAGCTTTTCACACATATTTTTTAAGCAAACTCTTAACTTATTATAATTCACCATTAGTATCTTCATTAGTATTAGTATTTAAATATAAATACATAATATTAGCCTTTTAGTAGTAATCCAATTATCAGCATTCCTTAAAGCCTGCTGTTCAAATATTTATCATCAAACATACAAGTACATATATATAAAATATAGAGTTAATTAATTGTTGCGGTCCCTGGTAGAACCTTGAGTAGCTGCGCTTGTTCCACCACACGATTGATGAACGCTTTGCACCCATCCCGTTAACCGCCCCCACAGGTAGCACCACCCAGCACATTTACTCCTTCCATCAACAGCTTATGCATAGAAACTCAGATTTAGCCATGCGCTTGAAAAAAACAGAAATTCCTGTCGCCACAGTAGCCAGCCAGGAGGAAACGTCCCAAGGCCAAGGCGGGGAGCAGCCGGTCAACGGCAAATCCCTTGAGTCCTCAGCGATCAAGGAAGCCAACGATGCAAACAGCACGGCAGCGGTGAGTACAGAACATCAAAGAGCCAATGCCTACTTGGCTTAACTGGGGAACTAAGTAAGCCACTACATCCCCGCCTCCGTTCCCCATTTAGGCCAACACCCACACCAGCACGTTGGGGGAGCAGGAGCTGCAGAATGCAGTGGAAGCCGCAGCCGTGGTCTTCAAGAAGGTGGTCTTGCAGCGTCGCAAAGAAAAGGAGAAGGAAAAGGCCGAGGAAGGTGAGTACAAATAGCTCTGTCCATACCATATGCACTGAAAGAAAAATATATCTAATATCAAGAAAATATTACACTTAAAGCTTACATAAACCTTTCAAAATTAAAGCTACTTATTCTTTAAAGTAAGATTTTAAAATGTATTCTTGATTTTGGAAATATTAACTCAAGTATCAGTGAAACCTACGTATTTATGTATGTGCTTTTGTTTAGTCAAGTGTATGTTTGGGAGCGTAATTAACTTGGTGAAGGTAATGCTAATGCCTGTCCTGATTCTGGCGCTGACGGTGTCCTGTGTGACTAACAAACTCTTTGTGAAGGGCTTCCGTCTAATTTCGCTCTATTAATTAAGCCCCTCTTGGGACTGAAGGTGGCTGGTTGCCTCCTAACTCGACTGTCATTGTCAGACCTTGTCTTTGGGCATCAAAAGATTACTTGCATTTTCTCCACTTAAAAGATACGATTTTTTTATAACCCTAATAGAGAGTATAAAAGGGTCAAAATGCTTTGGTTTTTTCAACTAATTTTCCTCCGACATTTTTGTGCTTTGACTTCCGCCAACGCTCCCCAAAAGAATGCCACACTTTTTTCCCTCGCATTGTGCGCGTTTTGAAAAGTATGCAATCATTTTTCGCCTTGTTCGCAGCAGACTTTCGTTCCAGACTCTTTGTTTGAATTAAATTCTGGCAACAGCTATTGGCGACATTGCCACAAACGGCAAACAAATTTAATAGCAAAGTTGAAGTGGCTCAAAAGATTTTTTTCTGCTGTTGTTTAGGATTCGGGACCGCCACAAAGTACGAAAACCCATACCCATGCCTGGCGGGATAACTTTTTTTTTTTTTGGCAAAGCGAATCCTGCAGCACCGGCAAACTCTCATAAATCGATTTCTCGCCCACTCACACTTCAGCTGGCATCGTGAGGAGTTTTTAGAGGATTTCCCTGGAGGATAGAAAAGCATGCACGCCTTTGCCCGCTTTTGTTATGTTTCAATTTGGCGATTTGTGGGAGTCTTGTTTGGTGACCGTCAAAGCAGCGAGTGTCTATGTGGGGCTTCGAGATGGGCGGGCCCGGGATCCGGGACCACGATCCCTGTCACTGCCTTTGTCCTCGGGCTTTCAGCGCCCACGGACAAACCAAAGCTTTTCTTTTCACCACCCACCGGAATTTGGCGGTGCGGTGGCGGGACTGTCAGAAAGTGTAGCGTTAATCTTATCTCGCGCACCTTTTGTACTCCGATGTGGGCCCTGCCCTGCGAAAGCCCAAAATTGTTTCAAATTTGCACGGAGGGAGCCATGTTCAAGTGCACAGAGGGAAAATGTGTAGGAGATACTAATTAAAGTACTCATTATTGTATAAAACACGTAGGTGTTTGTATGATAGCGTTTTTAGACCTTGTTTATTAAATTGTTTTATATATAGGACATAGAATGCTAAATACTAAGAGGAAGTATTTTTGTGAGTCTCAGTTCAGGAACTGTTCTTGACGCAGCAAATCCAACGTTCAAATGTTTACCTTGTGGTTCCAATGGATTCTGGCTTCCTGTGCACTGACTACTGGCTTGTGCAGTTTTTGATTTTTTCCAGGAAAACACAAGAGAAAGAGTCATAAGGATGTTGGCAACTTTAAAAGCTTTTTATCAAATTTTTGCAGGTCCTTGGCATGACACTAGAAGCTTATGGCAAACATTCACAATCAATCTTGAGTCTTGAAACTCTTCTTAGATGCACTTGCCAGGGAACTTTTCGAGTCAAGTTGACTATGTTTCAGAGAAAAGATAGTAACCAAAGCTATTCGAATTCCATCTAATATTTTATTTAAAAATAATATTAAATAATAAATATTAAGCTTTTGGCTGATGGTACCATAAACAGAACCTGGTCGCTGCGTAAATACAAGTGAAGTCTGAAGGCTTTTGTTTATTGGGAATGTCTCCAAGTGGTATTTGAAATTCTTTAAACTATGAATAATATTTATACTAACTCTCTTGAGCTTAATTCTGTGTTTATACTAATACTCTTCTCATTGGGGTTGATAAAACTAAGAAAATCATGCTTGTGTGTTTGTAACTTTATCTGGCGAAACCATTCAAGCTTAACCCATTCTAGTTGTAAGTCTTAGTCTAACAACCACCCGTGCCGGGCTTAACCCGAGTGCAACTAACTTACTAGCTTTGGTGGTGGTGGAGGAAAACTCACCCTCCGGGTAACCGGTATCTCACCTGTGTGTAGTGGTAACCAGTATTTGTTCGTGGTGTCGGTCAACGTCAAAGTGGTTGTCTCCGCGGTGTTTCTAAAACTCGCCCTACCCTACTCCCCAGCTGCAGCTGTTTCCGGTTACAATGATACCATGGAAACGTCGTCGTCATCGGAGCTGGACTTCAGGTGTTCCAAGCCGCCGCAGTCGCACTATAGCGTCGAAGCCGACGAGTTCAAGCTAGTCTTCCTCAACTCGGACTCATCGTCATCCTGTCACGGCGAAGAGGAGGAAGAGGAGGAGGACGACGAGCCGGAGGAAGCCCAACCGGAACCGGATGAAAATGACACTGACTCTTCCTGCTCCACCCATCACTGCCACAGCATTGTAAGCAATGTGGAGGATTGCGATTGGGATTACTTTGAGCCTTCTATGATCGCCACCACAACGACGACTACAACCACTACCATGATTGCCTATGCCGGCAGTTCTACCGCCAGGACGACGCCCACCCCGCCGCTGCGAGGACGGGGTCGTCAGTCGAGTGACAGTGACTCACCGCTGGCACAAAGGCGTCCGCATCAAACGAGAAACATGTACTGCCCACGGATCCGGGAGAGTGACACCGGCACGGATGAGGAGTTTGTTTTGAACACGGAAACCAGCTCTCAAACGAGCTCGGATCAAACGCCACCACCGGTTCCGCCGCCTCCTCATCCGCTGAGCATGAAGGCCCGGATCAAGAATAGGTTCTTGAAGAACCACCATCACCACAATCGCTGCAGCTGCACTCCCGGCCAGCAACAGCACCAGACACAGCAGTTGCAACAACCTCAGCCCCAATATGTCCCCATACCCGTGCCTGTACCCATTCCCGTGCCCATGGCCGCGTATCCCAATTGGCCGGAACTGAGTGGGAATCCTCTACTGGAGCAGGACGAGCAGCTGGCCGCTTCGCTGCAGCAACTTTGGCAGGCGGCCGGGCAGCAGCAGCAGTTTGCGGCCATGGTGGCGGCCTATTCGAAGCAGTTTGCAGCGGCCAGCAGCAACATGTTCGATGCAACGCCGCCGGTGACCAGCAAGAGCTACCAACAGCTGCCCACCACGCCGCCACCGATACCGCAACGCCTGCGCGGACTGGGTCTGGGCGGCTTCAAGTCCTCGGCCCCGGAGCTGAGTGCCTCGCTGGGATCACTGATGACGCAGTCGCTCTGCTCAACCATATCGTCCTCGTCCTCGTCGAGCACTTCGGGCTATGGCACAGCGGGACGCAGTCTGGAGACCCTGGCCAGCCCCAAAAGAGCTGCCAACTCGCTGCAGCAGCAGCAACAGCAACAAACAGCTAGTGGTGCTTTCAAGCCAAGCAAGTCAACAAGTTTAGTAGCGTCGCGTTTGCCGTTGAGTGAACAACAACCAGAACCGAATATAGCGCGTCGCACCAGCAGCGAGAGCGACGACAACAGCAACAGCAACACCACAAGCACCAGCAGCAGCAGCAGCAACCACAAAAACAGCAGCAACAGCAACAAAAACATCACAACGCCCACTACGGGTAGATTGTGTAATGTTTATGATAAAACCGGCGGATTGCCAGCAGCGTCAGTTGAGGCACATGTTGCTAATGTTGCTGGTGTCGCCAGTAACGGCAGCAACGTCAGTGATAAGCTGAGTACGCCAGCAACATTGACAATCTCTCAGAGAGCGGCAGCAACACTTGGCAAATACCAAAGCCAGAGCTACAGCCACAGCCAGAGCCAGAGCCGAAATCTATGCGAAACCTATCCAACAACAGAAACCTACCTGGCCAGTAATAGCAGCAACAGCAACAACACCGCCGACGACGACGAAGAAGTGGAAGCAGCAGCAGACGAAACGAATATACATAAAAATCAAGTACCAGCAACAGCAACAGCTCCAGCACCAGCACCACCAACAGCAACAGCGGCAGAAACAACATCTAGAGCTGCGGCAGCTCCTGCGGTAATAACTCGTTTTGCACTCGAAAATGTTGGAAATGGTGAAAAATCAAAAACCCAAACGAACCCCAAGGGACAGCACCCAGTGCTAGAGACTGCCAAGAATTTGTCCTCCAATCGACTTATAGAGCGAAACATGTCCGATGAGGCGCCAGCCCCAAGTGGCGATCGGGAGGCACTTGCTCATCTGCAGAGCGAGAGCTATGCGGCCAGCAGTCCGGACGAGGCCAGTGGCCAAAGCAGCCAGGAGGATGAGGAGGATGGACAGAATAAACCGCAGCAGGAACGAGTCCGCCAGGTGGTACAGAGAAGCTACAATGTGGCCGGCATGATGCAGGAGGATCAGGAGCCGCTGCACAGGCACCACAGCACCACCACTGCTTCCAGTTCCAGCAGCAGCTCCGACTCCAGCTCCAGCTCCGAGTCCTGCGACTCGGATGATACGGGCACAGTGGCGGATCGCCGGCCCAAGCGAAGGCGATTTAACAAGGTGTTTGTGGTGAACCGGCAACCTGGCGGACGCGGCGTCCGCAGAAGCTCATCCACCGAAGGTGACTCGCTGAGCTCCTCCGATGCAAACCTGGAGGACTCCTCCGACAATGATACCGACACCGAACGCACCGACTGCGGCATTGTGTTGAACTATGTGAAGTCTCTAGAAGAGGAATCGAAACGAGACGAGGCGGAGGTGCCACAGGTGAGGGTGGAGGCGCCGGAGGAGGAGGAGCAGCCAGCACGTGATTGCCAATCGAGTGACGATGATGAAAGTGAACGCCGCATTGCCAACTCAAGCGATGAGCTTGCCAACTGCATTGTGGTTGTGGGCGGCCAGACGGACGACGACGGCGTGGTGCTGCACGGCATGCGATCTCTGCCAGACTGTGAGATGGAGGCGGAGCAGCAACCAGAGCGCTGCGAGCTGGTGGATGAGCTGCACAGCATCTCGAACGATGTCAACCGATTGCTGGAGCTGCACAAGCAAAACTCCCAGCTGGAGATCAAGCTGCAGCGCCTGCGGCAGGGGGTGGCCGAAATCAATGAGGATCTGCTGTTGGGCGGCACTAGTGCGGCTGCCACCCACCCGGACGGCGGGAAACCCGAAGAGTGCAGCCGTCGCACTAGTCTGGCACCTGGTTCTCGGAAAAGCCTCTCAAGCATGGTAAATTCTAATGACGAAACCGAATCGTCCACGGAGGGTAAACAAAAAGCAAGCGAAGATGGCTTTACCTGCCAACTACAGCAGCAGCACCAGCAGCAGGTAAAAGCAAACAGCGATAATAAACTAAAGGTAAAAGCAAACGAAAAAGCAGCCCAAGAGCAAACAGCTGTGCAAACGCTGGGCGGAGGGAGGGAGACCTGGGAGGAGGATAAGGCGGTCGGCACATGCAGCCAAGCATGCAAAATAAACGAAAACGGTGACTACTCGCTGGATTCACTCTCGGCGAGTATTATGGCACCTGAGCCGCTCGAGCAGGTAGAGAGCCACCGCTCTCGGGGCGACGCTCTCCGGCTACCTGTCGGATCGACAGCCGAGTATCTTTCTTCGAACTCCGAATCCGAAACCGAAACCAGACCAGAGAAGGCCCAAACCAAATCGGAGTCGCTGGAGTCGCCAGTCGAAAATGAGATGTTAAACGTTGCGGTACCTCCACGCTCTCCGCTGTACGGCAGCAGCAATACCACTAACAACAAAAGCAATACCAACGATAATAACGAAAAAACGAACAACAACGCTAACGAACTTGGCCATAATGACGCTTTCGCAGCACAAAAGACAAATAGCGGCAGCAGTGACGTAGAGAAGCCAAATGTGAATGTGAGTGCAAAGCAGGCGCGTGTGTTTGAAAGTGGTGAAAACTTGTACGAATGTGACTACGATAAAATATTCGGCTCTCAACTATCACCAAATAGTCAATCAGCTGGAACTGCATCTGCAACAGCAACAGCAACATCACTAGCTGCAGCAACAGCATCAACGACAATGGCATCGACATCAGCATCGGCCACAGCAACATCAGCAATCGGCGAACTGGCTTCGCCCAAAAATTCACTTTCAGCCAAGTATCGCAGCTTGGTCATGATCACAAAAGACAACGAAAGTGCAGGTGGTGCAACAAAGCCAAGCATGGATTACGAAATGGCAACCACCAGCAGCAGTAGCTACGGCAACAAAGGCCTTTCCAGCGGCAACAGCTTTGGCCAGAACTTTGCTGGTGACTCATTTCGCGCCACGGAACCAACGGAACTCGTGAGCAGCGATCGCGAATCGTCGCGCGACTCGTACAGTGTGGATTCCCTCAACGAACCGGCTCCCAAGCTCTGCTTAGACGACGGCCTTGCCGATGACGATTCTTGGGTGGAGGAGCTGAGCCAACGGGGCGAGGAAGATTTGGATGATGATGAAAACCTGAGCAATGCCACCACCACACCTACGGCCACGGATTCCGAAGGCGAGGGAGAACCTAGCCGCCGGTATATCGACCGCGAGGAGGAGCTGAGGGGCTACAATCGCTCCGCCATCGACTTCACCCTCCACACAATTGTCGAGGAGAGTTGCGAGGAGAGCGAAGTGGCCTCCATGCGGGCGGACAACGAGGAAATTGACCTGGAGGAGGATGATCTGGCAGAGCGAAGGCGCCAGCGATCTCTGCAGCACCACCATCGACTGAGCGCCTCCGAGCTGGAGAAGTACTTCTTCTTTGGACTGGGCGATGGTCGCGTCATGAGCTCCATTGACACCCGGGGCGACGACACCGCCTCCGAGGTAAGTTCCGAGTGCTCAGAGAGCCTGGACTCCCTGCCCCACGACGATCAGCTCATGGAAAACAGTGGCGCAGCCGCTGACCTGGCCTCCTCCCGCTTGGAGAAGTATTTCCTGTCCGGGTTCATGGGATTCAGTGGCGCCGAGAAGCAGGCGGACAGCGACGAAAGTGGTGGCAGTGTGGGCAGCGATAGCGAAGGTCATCCCAGCCCCAGCCAGCGAAGGAAACGCTTGGTGAGGGCTCGTGGAACTCCTCGTAGTCACAACTCCTCATTGGACAATCTACTGCTGCCGGAAGTGGAAAATCAAGATTCTTCGGCCACTCCTGTTGGCGGAGCAACTGCCGCCAATGTGGAGGACACCTCGGAGTCGGAAGCCGGCTGTGACGACACTGTGATTCATCTGGCCAATGCTGGAGCATCGGACGGCTCATCCTCCGATACGATTAAGCGCAAAAAGCAGCTGCGGAAGCGCCACGACTCCCTGGATGACAAGAAAATGCACGACCTGGAGCCAACCGAGTGCCGGACCCCCACGCCGGGGTCCAGTGGCCAAATCCAGATGCAGTCTCAGGCCAAGAAGCAGCAACAGCAGCACCACCACAGCCGGGACAGTGGCTTCGTGGGCAGCAACGATGACCTGCTGAAGGCGGCGCCAGACTGTGAGCCTCCCAAGAGTCCTACTCCGGCGTTGGAGCAGATAAGCGAAGACCGGGAACCATCGGCCCCGTCCCAGATCAGTCTGGCAAAGATGGACCTGCCCAGCACTTCGGCCGCCGCAGCAGCCACTCTCCTGCCCAGCCAGCGGAGAAATCTTACGCTGCCCAACTTGGTGCGGAAGGATAGCTTCAATAACTGGAGCTCCGACGAGGAGACCAACCTGATGATGAGCAAGATGCGACAGTTCTTTAAGACGCTTATCGTGGCCACGGCAAACGCGCAGCAGCAGAGCAAGCCCACCACGCCCAACCAGGCCACCAGCAATACCACACCAAGTGCCGACCGAAAGGTGACCAAGTCCCGGCCGGCACAGCTGGCTTACTTCGAGAACGAGCTCACCCGCCTGATGAAGACAGTGCCCGGCATCAAGGACGAGCAGGTGCGCGAGATTGTGGAGTACCTGAGCAGCGAGGACACCTGGTCGGACTCGTACGATTCCTCGGACTATACCAGCTCTGACCTGGAGGGCGGTGAGCGGAAGGGACAGTTGAAGGCCCAGATCTCCGCCAGCTGCCAGCAGATCATCAACAAGTTCGAGGTTGACGAAGAGGGCGATCGGGGAGATGGCGGGCTACTCGATGACAGCCAGAGTGTGCCTATGGAGGCGTTGGTCTACCAAAAGCTGGTGGCCTCCTTCAGCAAAGTGGCGTTGGGTGAGCCAACGGAACCGGAAACCGAAGCAGTCAAGGAGCCGGGAGCCGACACGGAGCAGCAAGCCACGGAGCGGTCACCGCAGCTCTTTGCCAAGGTCATGCAGCACATTGGCACGCGACTGGTGGCTCTCATGCACGAGGTCAGCAGTGGCAACGAAACACCAACTCCCTCGCCGCAAAACCAACGGCACCACCGTCGATTGCATGCCAAGATCTCGGCCACCACAACGGAGGACGAGGAAGACGAGGTGGAGGAGCAGCTGAAGGCTATGCCCATAAAGCAGTTGAAGTTACGCAGCAGATCGCATGACTTGCTACTGGACGGAACTACACCACACGCCCACCACCTGCACCACCAGGCCACCGTGCATCTGCCCAGCGGAACGGGAAGTGCAGCCGGTGGATCCGGAGCACCCGGACATTCGGACAACGCCGGCGAGGAGTGCGGCGTGGCCAGCGACTACGAACGGTTCTCGTGGCGCGGCAGTTTTGAGTCGGCATTACTGGCTAATGGCGACAGCAGAACGAGGCTCAGCCAGCTGAGCCAACTGGACAGGGACAACTCGTCGTCTGCGTCCGCTTTGGCTGTAGCAAAGCGCCGATCGGCAGGCGACCTCCTCTTCAGCCAGCACCAGGCTAGCCTCAGCCGCGAGCAACTGGACCGCGTGCGCTCCTGCGGCAGCATCGGCGGTGGCGATGCCCATCACCACCAGCTTGAGTCCTCGCCGGCCAAGCCCTGGCTCTCCTCGGCGGGCTCCTCCATTGGCGGCGACTCCACCAAGGATGTGCGGCGCTCCAGTGTACCGGATGCGATCTACGAAACGGATTCCAGCGATGAAGCTGCCTCCAACCAATTTGGCGGTGCTCGATCCACACTGCCCAGGAGCCTGAATGCCGGCCAGGTGGTGGCCAGCACCAACTCACTGCCCAGACTGCCGACCACCGGAGTGGGTGCCCCCATAACCAGCACCCCCAAGACGAAGTCGCAGAGTGCCCTTAACTATACACCCTCCAATTCATCCACCGTTTCGGCCACCGGCAGTGCCAAGAGTGCCAGATACCGCTCGCCGGGACTGGCTGCCCGAGCGGCAGCTGTCAGTGGCAGCGGAGGTGGCGGCGGTGGTGGCAGCACTGGCGTCTCCGGTGGCGGCGTGGGCAGTGCCAACTCGTCGGGCAAAAAACTGGGCGCGGGCTTCCAGTTCCTCTACTCCAAGCGTGATGCGCGCAAACGTCTCAACATGTCAGTGGGTGAGTTGTCAAACATTTTTTGTTTACCTTTGCATTCTTAGGGGGCGGGTCGGGGCCACACCTTCCCCAAAAACGGGTGGCCTTACGGGGGTGGCTCCATTTTCCTGCCGGGGGGACACGCACAGGCTCAAATAACTGGCTGTGAAATTGCTTCCTTCCTAATGAAAAATTCCTCACCCCACGCAACAAAGTCCGGAGGAACCCGAGCTTCACTCAAGTGGACAGACATTGACCTTAAGGCGAGGTCTGTTCAGGACTCTTGGTTTAACAATAACCTCCCTTTATAATTGCAACCATGCCACAAACCTATCACCAAGAATGCCGTATGGCACCCTGAAAGATGCAAATTATTCTAGGCGAGGCATCCCAGGAATGCGATATATTCGTGCCCCAATTCCCATGTCGAAGCATCCCTTGAAGCACATGGGAAGAACAAAATCTTACTAGCTGAAATGGAGACATTTGGTTCCGCAGCTGCTTTGCCAGAAATAAACTCAATCAAGGTCAATTAACTGTATCCATATAAGCGCTCCACTCATAGCCATAGCCTCGCAGCCAACTGTGGCTCAGTTTCCAGTTAGCGTCTTAAGCGATTTTCGCACAGTTGCGTAGTCAATGCTAATGCTTTTATGTGGATGTGGATGTTCGAATGACGGAGAAGTGGCTTCGGGCCATAGAAGTAGTTTCTGTGCGAGAATGCCGAATGCTCCCCTGTTCCGCTTGGCGTGGGCGCCTGTTATTCTCTATTTATTATTTGGCCAAAAAGCTGTTTTCGCTTTTGTGGCCAACAATTATACTGTATTTGTGTGTGTTTGTACAGCAAGCTGGTCATTGGAACTCGAACTCGAAATTCAAAAAGCCGGAGTGGGTGCAGGCGGGCTTTGAACTTTGGGCCAGCGATGGATTGTTTTCCCGGGGATAAGGGTTGTCTGATGAGGAAGTTCAAACCAGAGAGCACACCTTTAAATGGCTTTGTCAAAAACAAACGTGAGATCGGAAGTTTTGTAAATACTTTTAATCTCAAATATTTCAAGCTGAATATTGTCTGATTATTTTCATTTATCAAATTTTTCTATCAATGAAAATATATTAATCATTAAAAGAGAAATCGCAAGAAACACACATTTCTCTTTTATATTTTCTTTCAATAATTTACTTACTGTGCTCGTTCCGGCACGTTAAGCCACAGATAAGCCATTAAAAGTATATTAAACTTTCATGGGCAAAGCCTTAAAAATTCTGGCTTTAATGAAAATTTAAGAAATACGTTAATCCATCATAATTAAGGTTAGCATAAGTTTAAAAAAATTACTGGGAAAACATTGAATTCATTCACGCTGCCATCACTAAACAGTTTCGTCTCCGGGCCAGTTGTGTTTACACAGTTTCAGTTCAACCAACTCGTTTGTCTTTGCGGCGGCTTTGGCAAAACACAATTAAATAGGTGCCTGCCCCGGTGTCCCCATCCCCGAAGTCGTCATCTGTATTGAACTTCTACACATTTATGGGTTGTTAAGCTCTTGACGTTGATAAAGAGCTCCGCTGGCTTATTTCCTGTATTTATTTCATTTGTTTATTTAACATACAACAATTAATGTTTTCGAGCCCACAAAAAAGGTGACATCGCCCCCGGCTAAAGCTCCAATGAAAACCGTTTACTTTCCACATCTATTTTCGTGCATCGCTGCACTGCTGGTTGCCGGAAGTGATCCGTGTTCCATGTGCGAGTCCATGTCCATGTCCACCGGCGGCGCCCCAACGTCCGTGCCCATCCGGCAGCCGTTTAAGTGTTTTGCACCAAAAACAAAGCCTTGGTTGCATGCAATATTATTGCAGTAAAACAATTTCCACAATTATGCAAATCGAATTGAGTTACAATTAGTGCAGCCCCCAGGCGGAAGTGCAAAAGATGTTGCTACGGGGTGGAGACACCCTGTAAGCGACACCCGATGGCCGACGATCGCCACATCGCCACATAATTAAATTAACCTTTCTGCCCGAAAGACGAGACGGAATACTCGGAAATATTTTGTACATCTCTGTGTCGCAATAAAACGACGAGGGGAGATCTGGGTTTATTGAAAATGATTCCCAAAGGTTCCATAGAGGTTCCACTTCCAACACCTCTTTTGAAAGATAACTCAATTATAAAAACTTCCTAGAGTTCACTTTCTGCTGTGAGTGTTTATCTATTTTATATTGATAATATTCTTTACCAAAGTACTTACCCTTGCTGATATGAGATGGCAAAATGATTCATCATGTTGATATAGCTACTTAGAATCTTTAGATTTCTTGATATTTGTTGATCTACCCCCTTTGGTTGATTTCTTTTCGTTGGTTGGTTAATTGCATTTTCATTCCACCCGACCCCCAAAGTTCAATATTTGAATAATTGAATATAACTTAGATTTGCTCTCGCCCTGACCATGTTCTCTGGCACTGACTCCCGATCTTGGGATGTGGATCAGTTGAATTCCAACGCGTAACGGGACTGGAACTCAGTGGATACGATGCGGTCTATATAGTAGTACCCACTGGGCCCCGCGAATACCGATCTTAACTACTAGCAGTGAAAGTGAAGTCTTTCGCTTTTGTTTTGACTGGTTTTTGATTTTTGGTGCTTGCCGTTTTTTTTTTTTTACATTTTTGTGTTTGTGGTTCGTTTTTAGGGCCTGGCCTTCTCGCTCACGTTTGTCGGACGTTGTGCTAACATAGCGGAAATTATAGAAGTGCCATAAAAGCGAAAATAATATGAAAACATAGTCCGGTCTCCGGACTCCCGACTCCAGAGTCGAAGAGATTTGTCAACAAATCGTGACCAAATAAAAGAAATGCAAATTTCAGGCAAACATTTCGAGTCTGCTGAACCTTTTTAATGGATACTTACCAGTTTAATTGCACATTTCAATGGCTAGGCAATGGGTGTAATCTGACCCACTTTTATCTGTTTATTTGGTTGTTCGGTTGTTTGATTGCCAGCCAAGCCTTCCCAAGTCTCCCCTTCGATTTCACACCTTCATCACCTCAAGGCAGCTCGTGGCAAGTTCAGGGCCGCTTCACGTTTTGGCTTAATTAAATTGACCGCCTTCGAGTGGTCATGCAAATGCCTTTATGGGCCAGGTGCCAGCTTTATCGCAGATAAGCGCCCCTCAAGCCGTGATCAAGTGCTCCAATTACGTGTCCAAATACCAAAGATTGCGTATCGCCAGGCAACTTATCAAAGGGTCTTGTAATCTATGGCACAATGCTCTTGCAAAAATTAAAAATAATTTATTATCAGCTGTATCAGTGGGGTGATATATCTGAAAGATAATAATTTGTAGCGATTTTTAGCTTAGTTTTTTGCATGGAATTGCTGGGAATTCAATATAAAACTAAAATTAGAAAATGAAAACATTATCAACCAATTATAGCCTGAAAGCCAATAACAATATCATTGGTTCCAAACTCTAAAAGTTTCCGTCCAATTTTTATGATAGTCTATAACAAGTATGACACACTAAGGCAGCCCAATCCCAAAACCAGACCTTTCTAATTGACTCAAAGTGTTGCGTTGCGTGGGCAATTGGGAAATCCATCAGATGACAACTGTTGGCTGGTTGGCGAAGTGACAGAGCCAAAAAATAATGCCCATATGAAACATTTGCAGTCGGCTGCGGATGGCACCAATTAATCTAATATCCCCCCGAATCGCGCAATTGTGAAATGAGAAATCGAGAAAATGAAGCAAGTGACTCGTTTAATTGGCCCCCGGCGTGCTGCAAAGTCGGCGGCGAAAGAAGCCGCCAGCTACAATGCGATTGCCTCCCCCTCGTCCGTAAAATCTTCGCCAGCAGCTTCGTCTACCAGTGCCTCATTGGCCCGGGTCCATAACTACGGTCGGGTGAAGTCTTCGCCGACGGGCGGCTCCTCGCTGCCCTCCAGTTCGTCGGGAAAAATTCAGTACGCGGCCCTGAACAGAATGCGTAAAAAAAGGGTCGAAGATGGAGCCAACAAACTTCCACGCAAATCCAAGTGGCGGCGTCTATTTTGCTGGAAAAAGAGGCGCCGCCAAAGGAACTACCAGGGTTACTGGAGCAGCCAGGGAGCCAAGCCTAGAAAAAGCTTGCTTTGCTGTTGTCGCTGGGGTAGGAAGTTCTCAAGGTCGTCATACCAGTACGATTCCGAGGACGAGGATGACGACATTGATGCTAAGGTGGCTGCCTACATGGTCGAAATGAAGCAGCGCGAGGCAGTGGTCAACAGGCAAAGTGAGGATTTCCCAAATCATGCTTCCACTAAGGAGCAGCGGCTGCAGGAAGTGGAACTGCGATCTCCGTTGCAGAACAAGAGACGGGCCTGGACCTGGGACGACAGTCTGAGGTCCAATTCGGATAGGTTTCTGGAGACCCTCGAAGAGGATCTTCCAGAGTCGCCTGTCATCGTTTCTGCTGCCACTGCTCCTGGTGGAAGGATGTCGTTAATTCTGCACCGTCGCACCCCACTGCATGTCACCTTTATGGAGTGTGAAGAGCGGGAGGATCAGGAGCAGGCAGCGGTGCAAGGTAGGCGGCACTCATGCTACCAACTGCATGTACCTTGCATCGATGCCACCACCTGCTTTCCTCCACCGATTTTGAATTGCACAAGAACCAATATGATTTTTATTTCATACATATGCTGAAAGTTTTAAAATTGGGGGCCTGTTTTCTAAATATATATGGGTGAAGAAAATTATACCCGTTTTAAGAAACCACTTAAAAAGCCAAGATCGTGCCTGCCAGAAATAAACTAAAACTTTTCCAATGATTGCCTTCGATCATTTATCATTGGCTTCACATGGATCATTAGCGTTAATTATGGAAAACTCAAGTGCTAATTGATGATGCATTTTCTTTGTTCCAGAGGAGGCCAAAGCGGCTGCCGAAGAGCTCACTCGATCGCCGGTGATTGGACAACGGCCAGCAGATGCCACCAGCAGTCCCATCCAGTCGCGTGCCTCAAGCGAAACGTGGCCGGCGCAGTCAGATGAGGACATTGATCGTTTGGTGGCCATGCACCAAAACCGTAGCAGTCTCAGCTCACTGGGCGTAAGTAAATCATAAACATTTTCCCCAATTTAAATAATAAATATTAAATTAATTGATTCAGGTTCGGTCGGAGTCTATGGCCAGCGTGTACTCGGGCGCCGGCGAAGGACGCTATGGCACTGTGGTCGTTAAAGGTCAAGTGGAATTCGGCATGCAGTACAACTACAAGCTGGGTGCCCTGGAAATCCATGTGGTGCGTTGCAAGGACTTGGCAGCCGTTGACACCAAACGCAACCGCAGTGATCCCTACGTGAAGGTAAGGTTTCTTTAAAAATTTAACACTTTTCCGGCTTGTTTACTGAGTTTCTCACTTAATTGCAGGTTTATCTACTACCCGATAAGTCCAAGGCCGGCAAGCGCAAAACCAAAGTCAAGAAACACACCTTGAATCCCATCTTTGATGAGACGATGCGATTCCACACACCCATCTCCAGCCTGGAGTCCCGAACTCTGTGGCTGACTGTCTGGCACTCAGATATGTTTGGCCGGAACGATTTCCTCGGCGAAGTCAGTGTCAATTTGCAAGGACGAGTCTTTGACAATCCCCAATCGCAGTGGTATCTCCTTCAGGAAAGGGTAGGCGCTTAGTCTCTTAAAAATGTGAAAAACAATTTTATAAAAATTTGAAAATTATTATAGAGTGAACCCTTTGACGAAGTCGCTACCTATAGGGGCGATATTGTGGTTGGCCTTAAATACATACCCCCGGAGAACCTAAAGTCGTCGATATTCTCGCGCGGCTCTTCCCTGACAGGCAGCTCCTCGAATCTGCGGAAATTCGGAGGCAGCATTAAGTCAGTGGCCTCAAAATCGGATCGCAGCACAAAAGGTGGTCAACTGCATGTTTTGGTCAAGGAAGCCAAGCACCTGAGTCCCATTAAGGCAAACGGCACCTGTGACGCATTCTGCAAGAGGTAAATGAATGGTTTTTTAAAAGTGATGTCATTGTCTAATCTTTATTATTTTTAAATATTTTTCCAGCTACTTGCTGCCAGATCGCACGCGCAGCTCCAAACAAAAAACACCTGTGGTTAAGCGCACTCTGCATCCCAGCTGGAACTACACTTTTGTGTACGAGGATGTCTCCCTGGAGGATTTGACTGAGCGCGCCCTGGAGCTGACGGTCTGGGATCATGATCGTCTGGCTAGCAATGAGTTTGTGGGTGGAATTCGCTTCTCCCTGGGCACTGGTAAGAATACAAGTTACCTAAATAATAAAACTCCCAACTAACTATTTATTTTTCTATCTTTAAAAGGTCGCAGCTATGGCCGCCAAGTGGAGTGGATGGATGCCACCGGCAAGGAGCTCTCTCTGTGGCAGAATATGTTAGATCGACCCAACTTTTGGGTGGAGGGCAGCTTGGTGCTGCGCTCCAGTTTGGATGGCAACCGAGCCTCCTTGCCATAGGCCAACTATTCAGATTAGTAATTTATTGCCTAGATCCACGACAAAACCACAAAATAGCACTGGCCAAGGCCTCTGCGTTTGTATTGTATTGTATTGTATTTTATTGTATTAATTATGGGATAATTATCAATTAACGATCACGACAATTCTGAAGAAGCATTATTAGCGATTTAAGAAAGACTATCCCGCAGGGATATAGTTGTTGTATGTACATGGCACATTCACAAGTTAGTGTTAAGTGTGTGGAATGATGACTTCTGAATACTCGAATACGTCGGAATATGGCGATGACGCTGCACGAACCCCATATAGGCGAAACAAAAAAAAGAAAAGTTAAAACAAAATTAACAAGGTAAACAAAGAAAACTAAGCAACAAACTTTATCAAGTTTATGGCACTATTTGTGAGCAAAACTCTTAGCTCTTCGATGCAGATAAAACAAAATTGTAAAATGTAAAACAAAACGATGAAACCCCAAGGTTGGGGCTGTCTAGATATAAGCCAGTTTGTATGTGTGTATTTTTTCCCCCTCTCCGCAGCGAGAGGCAATCGCAATTTGCATACTGTATGCACTAAACTATGATAGAACTACAACTAAACGTAATCTACAGACCTCGTTCAATCGAGGCATAAGCTTCCTATGTATAACTATCCATAATATTCGAAACAAATACAAATAACATTTTTGTAAATTCAAATTTTTAGTTTTTGTTCAACTCTTTCGTTTCATAGATGTTAAGCGAATAGCGTACTCCTATCCTGACTTCATACATATCGCAAACATTGTGCAAATACAGCTTAGCTTCATGCCTGAATACAAAATAATCAAATAAGAAATGACCCACCACCACAGCAATCAAAGAATCAATCAACTCCCATAGCAGCCAATACTATATATATTTATATCACCTCCCTCCAGATCTAAATCTGAATATTGTGGAATTTACATAGACGTACAAGATAATATATAAACGATGTGTATGTTTGTATCCTTTAGGTCGTAGGGCAACTCTGTAAGATGAATGTTTCAGAGAAATCACTTTTATGAATACAAAAACGAGTCTTATGAATGCTTTTGGTGTAAGTGGATATTTACCATGAACGTAAATAAAATATGCATAATACAAAGTAATATTAAACGTTGATTGAAACTGGACAACAAAATTTATAGAAGATGTTTTTTATAAAAGAAATTTGCTGAATCACTCGTTGCCTAAATACCGCTTGTCTTTTATACTCGATGTTTTCGAAACACACAATATAATGCACATGTCTGAAAATTGGTGATGATCATTGATGTAGCGCATAGATTTATCCACATTTTCGGTAGAACGGCTAGCCACGAAAAAGATAAAAGATAAAAGTTAGCATGGCGGGTTAGGACATTAATGTAGACGTGGACATAGAATACTTTCTTTAAATCAGCATATGATAAATGTCAAACAATAAGCAGCAAATATTGCAAAAGTAATTGGTATTTAGTAGGGCAAGTAAGAAACTAAATCAAGAATATATACACAGATACTAATCTACCCACAATTAGTTCATAATCTAAGGTTGAAGCGTTTGCTGTTGGTTGTTGGCTCTCGAATCTAGCCATAAATTTGTTGAGAGCCCAATCACACCCATACACCCATTATATAGAATGGAAAACCACACAGAAACACAAAATTAGACATAATTTGCTCCCCCTAAAGTCTCCAAAGTTTCATTGTTTACTAAATGTATATTTTTCTACTACTTACTATATACTAACTACTTACCACCTAAAGAAAGAATATCACAATACCTTAGAATCGAATTGGATCTGATCGGATCAGATCAGATTGGATGGGGGAATGTGGGGATTGTGTTTTAACAATTTCCACTCTATCTTTACTTACCACTTACTCACTAAGATGGTGCTATACTCGTACTCGTATATAGGATACTCCAATACCCCTCGTACTCCTATTCAGTCTCAGGTCTCGGGCGATGAGAATGAACTATGGGAAATCTTTTTACCTTTTTACTGTGTACGTGCATTTCGGATTCAACTGAACTATTGTGAACTAGTGTTGATTATAGATACATAGAATACCTACATATGCATGTTTACGAATGCGATACAGACTTCACACCTACCTACCTACTTTATACATATAAATCTACTGAGATACATTACTTATAACACCTTTACAAGCAATGCGGCTACTCTGCTCGCATTCCATAGTCTTAAGCGATTTGTTATTGAAAAAAAAAACAAAAAAACATAAATTAGTGGATAGGTTGTTCTTTAGTGAACGTTTTTGACGTGACCTTAAGGTTCCCGATTGCAGAGATATTCGAAATATTTATGTACCCATTGTATTTGTTAGCATTCGCCAGAATTGCTCATATAAAACCCCAAAAGAGGAGGATTATCTCCGAGAAAGTATATGTTTAATTAGAGGCCCTAAATTACATACACAATGTTGCGTTAATGTAGTGAACTTTTTTAGCGAAAACACAATTGAAAAACACAAAAAGAATATATATACCGAATAATTATAGATGAGAATCTGAAAAAAAGCTGCGGTTGCCTTCTATAAAAGCATTAAACTATATTGTTTCCCAACTGATATCCTTGTACTGCCCTGAGAACAATCTTTTATTAGTTTACATTATTTTACTGGATGCTCAGTAGACCTTTACATACCTAAGTTAGTCTTTTCGAGTCATTTTTTTCCAAATGAATTGCTGAGTGATTTTTTAAGGGCCTGTCTAGTTTCAAATTTTATAATCTGGCAACCTGCGACGGTGATCATAAATCACATCGCGCCGTTTCTGCGCTAGAATTTACACACTTAGTCTTAAGATCTAACTAGACCTTTGGTCAGTTAATAGCCAGTGCGGAAATTTTAGTTGGGACTTCAAGATTATACATACATATTAATTATGTGCTAGTGTTTGTAAGACTTTCTATGGCAATTGAAGTAAGATGAACCCGATTGAAATTGAAATTGTAGCCGTTATGTTTATGGCATTTAAGGGGAGGGTAAGGTATTAAATTTTTTTTTTTCCATTTTTTTTTTTATTTTTTAAATTGAATGCATAATATCTGAAGAATATTGTGTCAAAATTTCAAGTCAATTAAAGCAAAATTGACGAAGTTATTAGTTATTGACGAAGTTGCTTGCAAACGTTTTACACTGGATTTTGTTTTGTTTAAAACTTTAAAGCGTTATTCCCACAACTCACGTTTTCAAAGTCGGTGCCCCTCATAACTTCAAAACTACTGCACCGATCCTTTTGAAATTTTAAACACTATTTCTGTACATATTTTACGAGGTAACGCTGTCGAGTTTTTTTTTTTTTTGTTCATAGTTTTGATTTCGCAATGACAAATTAACCGATTTTTCCCAAAAATTGAGTTTTTCACTTCAAAGTCTTCGAAAAAATTAAAAATTGCAATTTTCAAAAAACCTTTACAGCGTTACCTGGGGCGAACTATTATCTAACGAATGAATTTTCATTTTTTGATTACAAATGATCCAGCACCGAGTTATGAGGGGCACCGCAATTCAACTTTTTTGGCGACACGTCCGGACAACTGCTACCATTGCCATATTTTTAAATATTTTTTTGTAAAAATTTTATTAAACATTCTTCTAATGTCATACTTTAATATACCGTTGGTTGAATAAATAAATTTTAGCTGTGTCGTCAGGAAAAAAATCACAAAAACATGGCTTTTTTCGCATGATTTGACCTTACCCTCCCCTTAAGCGTTACATAATTACCAGAGTTTACATAACCATTTACAAGATACAAAATACAAGATACAAGATACTTATGAACCTTTTACTTACAAGTAAGTACTTATTACAACAACAAACAATACCAATACACGATTACAACAAGTTGAATGAACTCAAAAATAATTGGCTCAATGCTAGTTGCCAGGTTAAAATTGTGTTACGATTTGTGAACAACCGTGAATCAATCAAATAAAGCAAACTTCATCTATTGACAACTTTCGCAACTCTGGTGTCTGTCTTTTCCTTTTTTTGGTTTGATCCGATATCTTGATGGACATCGTTTGAAAGTCTTTGGGGGAAATACTTTGGCCGAGTGCACTCTCTTCACACTTCCGGTCCCGGCTCCGGCTTGCTGACGGATTGGCCATTTCCGTTTAATTGGTGCAGTTTGATTTCTTCTGCCGGCTCTTTGGACACATCATCATCGTGCCGGCGCCAACAGTCGAAAGCCCAGATGGACTCGTCCTTGCCAAAGGCCTCACCGTCCGCCAAGGTGATGGGTAGTTTCCTGATGAAACAAGCAAAAGGTATGATAATTAGGCAATGTTACTTTAACTTCTAGTATCCCTTTAAAGTCAAAAATAGTTTAAGCTTAGACATTATTACCCATTGATTTTCGATATTAAAGAAGTATAACTTCAACTTAAGCAAATATTTGTTCCTTAAAGTAAGCACTTCTTGTTTGAAAATCATTCTTCCTGTTACAAAATGATATTTCCGGTAGATTGCACTTACCTATTGTTTGTTTCCGGTAACAGAAGCGTGCAAACGGAGGCTGAGAGCAAAAGCAAGGCCAGGATGAGAGAGGGAGCCGCCGCCAACTTGGTGCCCAGATGAATGAGGTAGGGGGAAAGAAAGGATGCCCCCGCTGCGGCAAGATGCACTGCAGCAATACCACGGGAGCGTACACATGTCGGCAGCAGTTCCGAAGAGAACTGGGAGGTGACTGTGTAGCACATGGAGATGCCCAATCGCATCGGCAAGGCGAAGGACAGCAGGAGGGTGACATTGTGCTGGGCTCCTTCCGAGGACAAGGCCACGCCAAGGGCACAGGAAAGAACTCCGGTGCAGACCATGGCCAGAAAAGCAGTGGCCTTGCGTCCCACCCGGCTCTGCAGGAGGCCTTGAATAAGTCCCGAAGGTGGCACGGCTACGGCAAATAAGGAGAACACCACAAAAGGTGACATCCCCAGACCTTCCACGTTCCGGGATATGGTATTGAAGCTTAAGGAGGTCAGCATGCTGAAAAAAGAAAAATATAAAGGTTAAACAGGCAACGGAAACCGGAAATGGAAATTAATGCAGCCATTTTCTAGATTCGATTTCCTAAGATAAGGACATATTGCATCCATTTGCAATTCTATAATGTAACGTTTTAAAATAAATTATAAAAATTACTTTGTAATTGAATTTTTAAACTTACAACGTCATAACCACCAGCAGTGAAGTCCTGCGAAGATTTGGGGTCCTTAACAAATCAAAGAATCCAGCTGTGGCTTCTGGTTGATTGGATAATTTCCTCTTGACAATGCAGTGTCTGCGAAAAGCCTCAAAATCCGAAGCTGTAACTTCCCTGCCATTGAAATGTGCAATGTGCTTCAGCCTGGCAATGGCTCCTTCCACATTGGTCCTTGTAATCAGCCACTGGGCACTCTCCTGTACCACAAAATAGAACAGGGCAACCACTAATTGGAGCAAAGCCGAGCAGGTCAAATAGATTCGCCAGTTGCCCAACAAAACAGACAGCCAGGGTGCCACCAAGGCACCCAAGCAAAAACAAATTCCCAGAGTTCCACTGATGGCCAAGTTCCTTAATTTGGGAGCCAGGTATTCTAGCACTGAAAAAAAATGTTTAAAAAGCCGCATTGAATAAATATTATATGTGGATTAAAACCCTTTAGTTAGACCACGCCAATGCGTAACATTGGAAGCCTTTATGACGATCGTTAGGGCTACCAACTACTGTTGACTTTCAAGTACATGTGTATATTTCTACTAAAGCTTTCCATGCGACCAGATCTCTGAGATATCACAACGCTTACCCAGAATAAACATCAGATAATAATTTGCCGTAGCTGCCAGCCCAGAAATGCACCGAAAGATGGAGAATTGCACCAGATTTGTGGCATAAGTGGTAAGGAAATCGCCGACAAAACCGCACTGGTTTGCCAAAATCACAGCCTTAACTCGTCCTATTTTGTCGCCCAGCATGCCGAAGGTAAAGGTGCCCATCAGGGAGCCAATGAAGAACAGGGACTGACCGATTCTGGCCTTGTAGGCGTCTTGGCAAACCCAGTTGAGCTGTTGACCAAGAATTAAATGGAATGCGATTTCCTTCAATTAATGGCAGTACCTACCTCTGCATTCATGCTACGGAAACCATAGTCATAGTTGTACATCCAGCGCCCACAGGTTTCATTGCTTACCGTCACCTTATCCCCCTCGACGGTGTCCAGCTTGATGCAGGAGGCATCCTTGCCAAAGGGGGCATAGATTTGGGAAATTTCCTCGAAGCTGCGGTTTGCCAATGCCTCATGATAGCACCAATGCTGGGGCACAAATCCAATTATGTTCTGGGAGTAGTAGTGCACGGTGGTGGTGAAGGCGACATAGCCGAGCAGCAGAATCATAAGGTACTGATAGCGACCCGCATTGCCGCACTTCTCCAAAATCTTGTCAAAGTCCATGGCGGCGTCTGGCGAGGTTGGTTGTTTTTCCGCTGAGATTCTATTAAGACTGAACGCCACCCCCAAAAGCTGATCCAAAGCATGCCGAGAGATCCGAGGCGAAAGAGTACAAAACACGGGAAAGTGGCCGGATTCGCACGCTATGTCTCGGGCCAGCTCCGATAAGATTGTTTTGGTGGGCGGCTTATCGCTTATATGTCGGCGGGACGCTCAATCGCGAGCGTTTTATTATTTAAGTGATTCCGCTCACTTCGCTCCAATCTAAACAAACACTCACCGAACGTCTTCTTGGCTCTCTCTGGGATAGATAAACACTAATTGTGACCTCTGAATTATGAATCAAATACTCGTATGAATATAACAAACAAATCGGACCGACACGGGATGAATGGACTCTTTAAAAAATCGGAACAACAAAGCGCAACCTCTCTTCACATAAAATACACATAAGGTCAAGTGTCCGGCTAGATAAAAATCTTAAATGGCAAGTGACATTTTCTAGAATGACTGTAAGATACCCTTTCATAAAAATAATAAGCTTGAGAGGTTAACAAACACTTTTATTTTATTATAAAATTATTAATATTACACAACAATCATATTAAATGCCACAAAAATCAAATCTTTTGGATCGTTTACTAAGACTTTTATCTCTGTGATAAGTTTGTATTTCTATTTCTTATTGTCAGCTAGATATACATATTTTCTTGTTGTTTTTTTATCTCTACATAATTTTACACTTAAATCATTAAAGTAGTCTGTATTTTTTATTGACTAGGCTCGTGGAGCCATCGAGAGGCGACTCTGAATCAATAATTAAATCTCTTTAGGATGGCTAACAAGTTTTTGGCCTTATAAGAATTAAGAGTACTTATAAGCATATTAAGTTATGTCTCGGACTTATTGCCTTATAAAATACAATCTTTCGTTGGGCGAAACCTAGATAAGTGCTTCTTATTCCGACATAAGTTTCTCATTGGTTTCAGCATTACACTCGTGGTCTTGATTCTTTTTAGCTCGTCGCAGGAAGTCGAACATCCTTTCGCCCCTGCCAAACTCCTCGCCCTCAGAAAGGGTCATGGGCAGCTTTTTGTTGCGTGTTTCCGGCAGAAGGAGGCAAATCCAGGCGCTCAGAAACAGCAACATGCAAAGGATAATCGAGGAAGAACCTCGGAAGTAGCTGTCCAGATGCAGAATAAATGGAGAGACAAAGGACAAGGCCGCGCCCAGCACGTGGACCACAGCCAGACCACTGGACCTCACACAGGTGGGCACCAGCTCGGCGGACATTTGCATGGTGGCGCCCGAAGTGACTGAGATGCCAAACCGCGATGCCAGCATTAAGGCCACAGTCATGGCCACACTGGGCTCCTTTCCGAAGCTCAGCATAATTCCACTGGCCGCGGCCAAAACCCCAGTTGCGGTCATGCTGGTCACCGAGGTAAACTTGCGACCCACGTGCCTTTGGGCCTGGATCTGGACGATTCCCGATGGCGGCAGGGTCAGGGCAAACAGGGTGAACATAACAAAAGGTGACATTCCCAGACCCTCCACATTCCGGGACATGGTGTTGTAGCAGAGAGTGATGATAGTGCTGAAATAAAAAAAATATATATTCACGTACTAATAAGAGTAAAATAAGACAAACTAGTTTAAAAATTCTTGAAATTCCAAACAATAGACTTAGTCAACACAAAAGCTTAAACTATTTTAGTTTTCTTTAAAAAAAACAGTCACATATTGGGGTAGCTATTATAAAGCCTGTTTTAAGACTATTTTATTAAAACTTTTGTTTGGTTTAGTTAAAAAAAAAACAGCTTCCTGATGAGCAATTCTCACCACTATTGTTATACTTTTGGTTTAAAATATACTCACAACACAAGCAACACAAATATCATCCTTCGACGCAGTCTGGGAGTTTTGAGTGCATCCACCAGGCGAGCCTGCTTTTGCATGGATATCTGACTATTTGCTGTGGACTCCTTGACTTTGCAATGCCGACGAAAGAGTTCAAAATCGGCTTCACTGACCTCCTGGCGGTTGAACTTTGCCACCCGCCGCAGTCTTAAGACGGCACCATCGATATCATGCCGCGTAACCAGCCATTCTGCACTCTCCTGGACCAGGAAGTAGAACATGGTGACCAGAAGCTGAGGCAGCGCCGACCAGGCCATAAAGGAACGCCAGCTACCCAGCCAGACGGCCTGCCAGGATGCACTGATCATTCCCAGGCAATAGAATATAGCCATGGTCAGGTTTAAGCCAACGTTTCGCAGGGATGGTGAAACGTATTCCAAAACTAAAATTGTAAAAAATCAATAAAAAATCACTTAAATATTTTTCAAATGTATGACTTACCTAGAATGTACATGAGATAAGCATTAGCTTCTGCTGCCAATCCTGAGGCAAATCGACTGGCCGAGAATGTCACCAGGTTCTTGGCAAAAATTGTACATGAGTCGCCCAGAAAACCACACCAATTGGCCAACACCATGGCCCGAATGCGTCCAATTCGGTCTCCTAGAAGGCCAAATAAGAGAGTTCCACACATAGAGCCCACAAAAAACAGAGATTGGCCCACTCGGGCCTTATAGGCGGAATCACAAACCCAATTAAGCTGGACATGGAAATAGAATTAGAATTTAAAATTACATCGAAAGAATATGATGCATAAATCATAATTTGTAAATAATAGCTTTCATAAACACCTCAGGAATGATGTTATTTTCTAACAATAATAAAAGTTGCTTTTGAAAAACATGAAAAGCTTTCTTTCCCCTTTTAATTTTGATAAAACACTACGCAATCTTTGAAGACTATGTGATAAATGTTTTTATGAGGTTCTCTGAGCCATACCAAATTTTGATTTATCATTATACAGCTGGATCTGTTTATAGCTCACATCTGCATTCATGCTCCTGAACCCATGATCGTAGTGGTAGATCCATCGAGTGCAGGGATCCTGGCTGGCGGTGGCATTACTCCCGTCGGAGCTGATCGATTCGAGGCGTGTGCACGATGGATTCGCAAACTTGGAGTAAATAGAGGCGATTTCGGCATAGCTCCGGTTCTCCAGCTGCTCATGATAGCACCAGTGGTCTGGCACAAAGCTGATGACGCTCTGGGCGAAGTAGTGTCGCGAAACGATGAACATAAGACAGCCGTAGAGCACTAGCAGCATGTACTGGTAGCGATGGCAGTCACCGCACTTGACCAGTATCTTCTCAAAGTCCATGGTCAGGCTGCTCCCGAGATGCAGTGGAATTGCTCTGCGAAGCTACCGAAGCAGTCAGGTTCCGTGCTGTCCGTCGTCTGCCGTCTACCGTCTACCGTCCGTTCTCTTCCGCTGCCACGCACATACTGCCAGCTAGCCAGAGCATACTAGCTCTGGGACTCCGGACTCCGGAATCCGGTCGCCGCTCTTCTACCACCGAACACCAAGCCATCGAATAGTTAAGAGCGCAGTGACGTTGTGAAAGCGGCTGATATTGGAGTTGAATAGTTGAAACGCCTTTTGGGGTCTCTCGCATCGACTGATAAGTAACATAACCCGCCTCAGTCCGATTCGATCATAACTTATACGTATTGATTTAATTATTATGGTTGATAAGCCGCTTTGTTTTTCTCATATCATCGCTGTAATCTGCAATCGAACTTACTATTCAAAATATACAACTCTGTTACTGCTAATTTATACAAAGAGCCTCCTAAATGTCGCAGACACAAAGTGGTGTGATTTTAAAGCTGCTTTAAGTGGATGGAAATGCTTAAAAAAATATTTGTTGTTTGCTTCGATTTTATGGGCTTTGATAAAATAAATGTTTTTGATAGTTTCTTCAAATTATTGAGTAGATAAAATCTTTATAGACTTTAATTTTTCATTCATGTTAATAAGGTCTTTAAAGTTTTGTAAAAAAATTAATCAAATTTTGATGTTATCGTTCTAATGAGTTGGAAGTGGAAACGAATAACTTAAATTTCGGGATAGCCTCCTTTTCGAATCCTAATTCTTATTCATTTCTGAAGAGATTTTAAAAGATAGTGTCTCTAAGAACTAAAATATTAGACATAAAAAAAAGACATAGATCTACAATAAAAATTGGACACCTAATCTGTAGCCGAAAATTTTCCGATCATTAGGCCAAATTCTCGCTATCAAGATTTTTATAGAGAACAACAGAACTTGCTGAGATAATTTCGTGATGGTAAAAAATTCAATTGATTGGATATTATTAGCCATTATGGCCTTTGGTTATATTAGGGCGTATACGTAACATGGCATCCTTTCAGACACAAAAATCAAGTATACGCATCGCATTTCTATTTATTCTATCTATTTTATTCTATCGAATTTATCTTTTGATTTTACATCACAATTCTATTGTAATCAAAAATCAATAATTTTACATCATCAATATTATAATGTAACGTCGAACGTTTGTTTCCGCTAGAACCTTTTATAATTTTCCTAAACCAATAGTACCTAAACCAATATCTTATCTTTACAAATATTCAGAAAAAAGTTATTTCCAAGCCCTTCTAACCAAGTTTAATTAACCATATAAATAACAAAAAATAATCATCAATTAAGAAACGAGATAATTCGCTAAATATAAAGAAAATACTATTTATTGCGATTTTTGACAGGGCTTATGGTAATAAGATAACAGAAATCAAACTGAAATAACAGTTTGCTTTTATTGTTTGGCTGCCTTCGACATTAGAATGTCCTCCTCCTCCTCCGGCTTTGTGGTCATCTCCACAGTAACTTCGGTACTTTCTGCCCTTCTGAGATGGCTAAGGAAGTCAAATATTCCTTCGCCCTTGCCGAACTCCTCTCCCTCGGCCAACGACATGGGCAGTTTTTTGTTGCGAGTCTCAGGCAAAAGGAGGCATACATAGGCGCCGGATAAGAAGAGAAGACCCAGAATAATCGAGGGAGCCGGCTTGAAGTACGTGCCCAGATGCAGGATGTAGGGCGAGAGGAAGGAGGCCGCAAAGCCGGCAACATGCACCACTGCCACGCCCCTTCCTCGGACACAGGTCGGTATCAGTTCCGTGGAGAACTGGGAGCTGGCCCCATCGGCAATGGAGACGCCAAATCGCGCGGCCAGGGTCAGGCCCACCAGAAGAATCACGTTGCGATTGCTGCCCTGCGATATGACAAGACCGGCAGCTGCGGCAAACAGACCCGTGATGGTCATCCAACTGACCGCGGTGGCCTTGCGACCGATCCGATCCTGGAGCAATCCCTGCAGGTAGCCGGATGGTGGGAGGGTCAGGGCGTTGAGCGAGAACATGATGAAAGGAGATATGCCCAGGCCCTCGACATTTCGAGCGATGGTGTTATAGCAGGGCACGATTATTATGCTGTGGATGAGGTAGAAGAAAGTAATAATTTAAAATTAAAAACCTTAATTGGAACTAATTGAAAATATGGTGTACTGTTTTAAGAATGTATTACTCATCAGAACTCTGGAACATTAATTTTGTGATTCATTGAAAAGTAATATTCTGTAACAACAGAAAAGTATACAACTTACAGCAACCATTACCCAGTTCTCAATTTCAAAACAGAGATCATTCAAATACATATTTTCATGTTTCAAGTTTCAAGTGCTACTTCATGTAAAAGTGCAACAATGTTTACGATGTTTAGGGATTGGGATTTAGAGACTCTTGTAAATATACAAGAAATACTTTGTCGAATAATCCAGTCATTAGTCATAAAATAAACAAATTCTTTACCCTATAACCTGATTTCTTTCAACCAAAATATCGACTTACAAAATGAGCAATAGCTTGAAGGCAGTACTGCGCATGCGCGGCGTTTTCAGCATGTCCGTGAGCTTGGCCTCGGTCCGGTCCGCCTCCTTGGCCTCTTTGCGGTAGTGCTCCTCACAGTAGCTGCGGAACGCCTTAAAGTCATCGTCGGCCACTTGTCGGCGATTTATCTTGGCCACGCGCTGCAGCCGCTGGAGGGCACCGTCGATGTCGCCTCGCGTGACCAGCCACTGGGCACTCTCCTGGACGAGGAAGTAGTAGAGGGTGACCAGCAGCAACGGCACGGAGGAGCAGGCCAGAAAAATGCGCCAGTGGCCAACCCAAACGGCCAGCCAACAGGCGCCAATCAGGCCCAGGCAATAGAAACAGCCCAGCACGGTATTGAGTCCCACATTTCTCAGCGATGGGGATACATATTCGAGTACTAATCAAAGCACCCCAATTAATTAGCAAATCAATTAGGCATTTTAACGAATACTCACTCAATATATACATGAGATATGAGTTGGCATCGGCAGCCAGTCCTGAGATGAAACGACAAATCGAGAACGAGACCAGGCTTCTGGAAAATATGGTTGAGAAGTCGCCGAGGAAACCGCACCAGTTGGCCAGAATCAAGGCCTTGATGCGGCCAATCCTATCACCAAGGAGCCCGAAAATCAGAGTTCCACAAACCGAACCCACGAAGAAAAGTGACTGTCCCACACGTGGCTTGTAGGCATCATCGCAAACCCAATTAAGCTGAAAATCGAAAAGTAAAAAAATAAGTTCCATGTGCACCTGCATCTTTACAGCCAATTTTCCGCCAAAAAAATACATGAACTTTATATTTTAGAGCAACTCATACCTCTGTATTCATACTTTGGTAACCAAAGTCGTATTTGTAGATCCATTTGTTGCACCTCTCCGAGCTGACCGTGTGATTCCCCCCATTCTGATCGATGGTTTCCAGTCGCGTGCACGATGGGTACTCGAATCTCGAATATATTTCCTCGATCTCGGCGAAACTGCGATTCGCCAGCTGTTTGTGATAGCACCAGTGATCGGGCACAAAGCTGATGACGTTCTGGGAGAAGTAGTGCATCGAAATGACGACCATGAGGTAGCCGTAGAGCGCGAGCAGCAGGAACTGATAACGACTGCTGTTGCCGCACTTGGCCAAAATCTCCTCGAAATCCATGCTGCTGTTATCAGATTTTCGCGAGGTCCCCAGCTCGAGAGGCGTTAGCAATGTTGTGATAAGGGCATATCTGAGGGCTCTGGCATTTATGGACTGCTGTGGGTTTTCGAATCGGTTTATTGGTCCGAAAAAAAACACTCCCTAAGTGCTCCCGAGGTTTATTGAACGCAGCTAAAAACCCGTTCCGGTTGCGTTCTGGTGGCACGGACCGCACATTTCCAACTGGTTGAGCCTGAGACCGATACCCCAGTCCCAAGTGGACTGCTCCCAGAGAAAAGAGTACTCACCAACGAGAGAAACCACCTTTCTCCGCTCTTAATCAATTATGTGGCATTTGAAAACACAAAAAAAAATGTCACTGGAGCACGTTCCCAAATGGAGAGTTTTGTAGTGGAGGTCTTGAAAATTTGCAATGCATTTACAAAATTTGAATTTCAATTAATTTCAATTTCTGCCACTTGGCTTTCATTGACAAACTTTCAAATTGATTTATTGATTGGACAAACCATTTGGCATGTTAGGATATTGTTATCATACTTACTCATGAATAGATTTCATAAAAACACCCAGACATTTGTTTTTTTTATATTTTTATTTTAGTTTTTTTGTTTGTTTTTTAAATGTTTTTATCAATTACATTTGCTGTTTAAATGGATACATGTCTACATTTGCTGCCTTTTGAATACGTATATATTCTAAATAGCTTTAATATGAATCATAATTGCTGGTTTCCCTCACTTCTATGTCTGTTGGATTTATAAATGTAGTAAACGCAGTTTCGTGATAACATGATAGATAGACCTTATTACATTTGCCTGTTTATGACTTAAATCGAATACATACACAAGTAGTATACCAAACTGTACATACATACATTAGATGCAATGCGTTAACTAAATTTGATTAACAACTAAACTACTTAGCCGGCCTAGTACGAGTAAATTAATCGTAATCGTAGTTTGAGTAAATAGGCAATAGAGCTGCATAACTAACTTAAGACTCTTACAAAGATGCACACATTCAACTCGATATACACGCTAAATTATACAAAAATAGTGGTCATAACGTATTTACGGTGTTACTATGGTAATAATAATAAATAGTCGAAGAAACCATCATGCGTACAGACTAAAGCCCTGAACGGTTAGTTTAGGGTTTATTATTTTTAATAGGGGAAGGTATAAGGTATAATATAATATAACAAACGATTCAGTCCGATATTCATTTCAATTGCAATCTCTCAATGCAAGACCCTTGGAAAACTAAACCGGTCACATAACACTATACTACGGCTACACATACACATACATAGTTATCCCTTTTAGCCTGGTAATTAATTATACAAAGTGTGTGCAGGAAGTTCGTCGAAATCAAAGACTAGTTTAGATATGATAGACAGATTATAGGGATTGAGAGGATCAAACTCAAACGCACTCAATGCTGTCGTAGAAGATCTCCTCATCCTGATCCGGTTCTGCATCGGATAGCTCCTCCTCCTCAAAATCATCCACATCATAGGAAATCAGCGACTGCATGCTGTCATCCAGCAGCTTGTGCTGCACATGATGCACCTCGAAGAGGTTCGCCTCTTTCTTGTCTTTCGACGGAGTGCCGAACCAAATAGCTCCCTCGGCATCCGCATCGGGATCAGCGCCTTCGCCCCGATCATCCTTAAGGTCGCCAGGATCGGTATCAGCTCTTGCCTCAATGGAGTCACTGTAGCCATAGTCGAAGGTGACCAGGAGATTGTCGCTGCCACAGTCCATGGAATCGGGCGATGTGTAATGGGTATAGTAGGAGTCGTAGGCCGTCTCCTCGGACACATCGAAAAGCTGCCTCGGATGCAGGAATTCCTCTTCGATCATATTCGTTTGCCAGAGTTGCCAATTTTGGTTATGGGGACGGAAATTTGGCTTTTCAACGGGTGGGTTGGCCAAATACTACTCGGGATTCGGGGTTAGAGCAATAAAAAACAGAATAGAATATCAGATCTTAGCTTCAAAGTGCCATGATTCAAGCCATGAGAATGAGAACGAAATTAGGAACGATAGAAGAAAAAGGTTTTCAAACTGAACAAAAGAAGAGTAGTATTTTGGGTTAGCTTGTAGCAAAATGGTAACTAGGACAGCGATTAGAACCTCAACCTTGGGCACCATTACTTATTTTGTTAGCACAGTAAGAACGTTAATTAATCAATCAACCAATTAGTTTATGTACAACTTGTAAGTCACTCGCTTCGCTTACGTTTTACCTTACTTGGCATTTTTTCAAAAGTTGTTCGAGCAAAATTTCTTGAGTGTTTCTTGTGTGTGCACAACCCGTTTGCTATTAGAAAGGGTGAGGGTCTAAGTCTAGGTAGGTAGTCTCGATAGGTCGGCTAGCCTAGATCCACTACAAACTACAACAAAATCAAAACCAATGCTGGCAACTCGGTGAAGGTAAAGGGGGGAGATAAGCAAAAGAAAGCTGTGGCAAGTAGGATTCGTGGGATTTGCGGGGTGGATTGTGGATAGTGGATTGGAAAGAAATGGTAAAGCTTAAACCTACTAAGTGAGATACAACAAAAGAGACTTACGCGTATAACGAATGGCGGCAAAGTGTCTACTTCATTGTCTCTGCGTTTTTGGCGAAAACAAAACAGACAAACGATATACAACATAACAGGCTCGGGACTGATGTCTGAGCTTTGGCTGATTGTATATATATTATTTATATATTTATTTTGCTTTTTTTTTTGGGCTGAGCTGAGCTGATCTTAGCTGGTAAGGATGAACTGGGCGAGGGCGCTGCTCCTTGTTCTTGTTTGGCCATCGCTAGTATATCTGTGGCTGTCCGATACCAAAAACTCCAGTCGCAGTTGTTCTTTAATTTTTTGCATGCAGTGCTGCTTCACCACCAACATATCACTCAATCAGTCAATCAATCAATCAGTTCACCACCTTAAGTCCACATATATCTGCCATTCCATACCAACTCCGGTTATATTCTCTTGGGTGTTTTTGTTAGGAAGAGTAGTGGTTTGTTTTTCGGTTTTCACAATGGTTTTAGTTACAGTTTGGGCTGTTGATGGTTTGTGGTTTTTTGGGATACGGTTTGGTTGTGGTTTTTGGGTTGGTTGGTTTGTTGGATATTTATATACATATATTTATATATGTTTTTTTTTTTTTGCGGGGGATATTTTTGGTACGGTCAGTTTTTTTTTTTGGTTTGTTTTGGATATACAAAATATATAAGTATATATGTGAGTTACGACAACAGACAGTTTTTTAATATTTGGTTTTATATGTTTTTTTTTTTGGAGTAGACATACAAACAGTAGGGTAGAAAGGCGCAGAAAGAAAAAGTAAAAGTAAAAAGAAATTACAGCATTAGATACAAATTATTTCAAGTGATCAAGTGATCATCTAATTGGAATTGTTCTCGAGTGTCAAGTAATGCACAAACAAAGCCAAAATGAAGCACTTGTGGCTGCTGATGGTGTGGCATTGTCCTGGTGTGATGTGGTGGAGGTGAGAGTGTGGGTTAGTTGGGGTTTCTGGGATGAGCAAACGACCACAGGATGGAAAAATGAACCCCTTCATGATCCTTAACTTAAAACTGGGAAGTCTTTTTTCGAAAATTGCACAAAAAATAATAAACCGCATGGTCTAGCATATTCTAAACAAATTTATATTTTTTTCTTTTCACAATAGCGTATATGCATACGTAGGTATTAGCCGATCTGCTTCATACACAAATCAATAAATTAGCCTTTAAGTTAAGCCCAGTAAGTAGTTAAAGTATAGCTTACAAATTAATTACAAAGAAGGAGATTATAATAATGATAACTTTTAAATACACACACGCAAATTAATAATTAAACTTAAACTCGCTTTCGAACACAATGAGAAACTGGCTGATCCAACAATGAGGCATGCACACTTGAGGCAAAGTATATACTCGGCCGCAGTAAACGTGATTTGCATAATGTATATGTAAATGAAATGATATTGTACATGCATTGACTTTTGTTTTTACTTTTTATATACACAACTATATAGAGGAAACATTGCTTTTGCTGTTGCTATAGCTGGTGTTGCTGTTTCTGTTGCTGCTTTTGTTGCATGTGAAATTGCTTATTAATTAAAGCCAGCTACTGAGCACCTAAGGCATCGATAGGCAGTGAGAGCTTAATTGGAGGCACCTTTCACTAAGCCAAGTGTTAACTGATGATGAGTCAACGACCCAAAACCCAAGCAAAGCCAGCAGGGTCTTAAAACCTTCTTCTAGGATGTGGAATTATGAGATACTATTCACCGTTCTTGGAAATATCTTTCAGGTGGCTTTGGCAAGAAATTGACCAAAAAAATACAAAATAAAATAGAATTTGATAAATTACAGAACTGATAGTTTACCACCACTAATCCAATCAGTTTTTCAGTTGACAAAATTAGGGACAAACAACAATGAAGTTATTCAGGCACGAGACGTTTACACGATCATTTTTTCGGCTATATAATATATATATAAGGGATATATATATGTATACTCATGTAACTAGATTAGATATGTGTATGTATGTGGTGTATATATGCCGAGGGTTAATTGTATGCATGTTTAAATAAATAATGTATAAGCATGTAACTATGTTTTTAACGTATATAGTTAATATCGAATTTGTATGACGCTGATTTCAGTTTTTTTCACTTTGAATTAATTTTCTGTTTTTTAACTGTTTTGTAACGAAGATGATGATTCTGTGGTTCTTTGTTGCTGATTTCGTTTCTTGTATCGTAATCGTAATCGGTATAGAAGGCATATTAAACGGTAATCAGTAAATATTCATATATATATAGATATAAATGTATGTATCGGTATTATCAGTAGTATTATTATAATTCACTTAAACCAACCCAAGAATGTTGATTTGAGAGTGCGTACCTTGCCACTATCACTGTCGCCAAAGCTGGAAGTGGGCGTGGTGGCTAGCCCCAGAGTGTCGCCCTGATCCCTCCCGATCGTTCGCCCAGCGTTGCCCCCCGCCGAGGCGCTACTGTACCGCCGGGACACGCCCAGCGCCTGGGCCCGTTCACTGGCCGGCGAGTGGGCGCTGCGTCTGTGGTGGTACGGTGCGCCCGCGGCGGAGTTGCCGCTCAGCTGGAGATCCTTGCGCAGCGTCGAGCTTAGCTGGGCGGCAATGGAGCCGCCGGTGATGCCGCCTTTGCCTCCGCCCTCCCTCGACAGCGAGTCCAAGTGGCGCACTCGCGAACTGATCGTATCCCTCTTCAGCTTGGGCAGCGGCGAATTCTGGAGCACACGCGGGGACGGAGTCGTTGCACCGGCCGGCTGGCTGCGATTACCGCCAGTCGATCCGGATGAATAGGGTGTGGTGGCCAGCGGAATCGAAGACGAGGTTGAGCTCCGACTCGTATTCGTGCTCAGCGAGTGGTTCGAGGCGGATGTGTCCGCTCTCCTCAAGCTCTGCAGGTTGCCGGTGCTGCGGCTCAGCGAGGATTTGCTGCCGTACGAGGTGCTACTGGAGTTGTGCGCCGATGGGGGCGACCGTCCCGCCGTTGCAGGTCTGCCAGTTGGTGGTTTGCCCGTAAAATAGGCTGCCGCCTTGCTGCCCGGAAGTGGAATCTTGCTGGGCTTGCTGGTGCTGTTGAACTTGCGGAACGCACTTTGCCGCCCTGTCGGGTTTGAGGAATCAAAGGGACTCACTCCGCCCACACTGGTGCTCATCACCCGGGCAGCAATACTACTGGGTGTGCTGCTGCCCACGGGACAAGGACTCGCAGTGATCGTCTTGCTCAGGGTGGAGTTGGGCGTTCGCAGACCTGGCTGCTGCTGATTCTGTTGCTGCTGCTGCTGGTTCTCGTGCTCATGCGCCGACTCTGTACTGCTGCTGTGCTGCTGCAGTTCATCCATGGCCAGCGGCACCATCGCCTTCATGCTGGGCGTGCTGATTTGCGTAACTGGCGGGGCAGGCATGGCCGTCGATGTGGAGTCCACCGAATCCGAGACTCCGCGACGACTCAGCATCAGGGTGGTGGAAGCCGAAGAGCGATTCGTCTCGTAATCATGCTGGGAGGAGTTCAAATACGAATTGGCGGTGCTGTTGCTCGCCTGGAGGCGAGATTCCACGAGGCGCAGCTGCGCCTTGGTTCCCTCCAGCTCAATGCTTTTCTCCTCCAGCTGATAGCGTAGATGCTCGGAATCCTCGAAGCTCTTGTCCAGCCGCTTGGTCAGCTGCGTCTTGGACTTGCTGGACGACTCCAGCTTCTGGGCCAGCACCTGGTTCTGAACGGACAGGGTGAGCAGGTGTCGCTGCAGCTCCAGCACATTCGTCTCCAGCAGAATGGCCGCAAATCGCTTGGAATCCGTCAGCCGGCATTTGGAGTTTCGCACCCCCGGCGTGCTTACGATGCCATCGAGGCGACCCAATGACTGCTGCTGCTGTTTCTTCAAGGTTGCTATATCACTGCTGGAGCTTTGATGGAATGCTTCCTGAGCTGGCTGATCAAGGACGACCGGCTGGAATGTGTTGTGGGATTGGCGACTGCCGTTGGAGAGCACCGTGGTGGCTGAGGATAGAAAGTTGCGTTGACTGGAGAAATCCGACTGACTGGCGCTGAAAATAGTAAAGGAATATAAGTTAATAATATTATCTTAAGGATCTGATTTGTATATCTACCTGGAAGAGCTCTTGCTTTGTTGCTGTTGCATCTGCTGCAGTTGCTGCACTCGCGAGCTCAGCTCTAACTTTTGCGCCATGGCCAGCTTCAGCTGCTCCTCGAGATCCTTTTTAACGCCGATCAGTTCCTCCACCTGGTCGCTCATCTTCGCCGCCTTGATCCGCCCCGTCAGAGTCTCGGCCTCCATTTCGGCCAGTTTGTCCAGCAATCTATCGCGCTCCCTGCGCAGCTGCTTGATATCCTCGCGGTTCAGCCGCTCCACCTGCTCGCGGAACTGTTGGGGCGTCATTGCCTTGGAGCCGCTACCCTTGCTGTCGCCCCCCTTCTGGGCATCCTCCTGCTGGCGTTCGTAGCTCTGCAGCTGCTCCACCTCCTCCCGTAAGCGATTCGACTTGCGGTGTATGACGTCCAGCAGGTTAAGCAGCTCATCATCAGATTCCGCGCAACTGAGGCGATTGGCTGCTATGGCCACCTGGTTTTAATCGAAAATGAAAATTAATAAATTATTAAAGAAATTATGAATGTAAGCTGGTGGAGACTCACCGTCATAGCACCGTTGGTGGAGGAGGCACTGTGGCCCTCCTTGGAGGAACTGGTCTCCGTTGAGAAGCCGGAGTCTTGGACAACGCTCCCGTTGTTGTTCTCTCCGCTCTTTGGCTCTTTCTTGCCGCTGTGCGAGTTGCTGCGGCTGCGTGTCAGCGACGAGGACGACGCCTCCGCCCCGGAGGAGGAGTTGGCTGCCGTCGCCGACGACGTGGACGGTTCCTTGTGCGACAATTTTCGCTTCATGCGTATGCCTGGCTCCCACTCGCGTCTGCTGGGTAAAGATTTATTGAAATTATTCAATTTATAGACCATTGCATCTAACGAACTCACCTGGTGGCTAATGAGGAGCTGCCGCCACCCACCGAGTGGCTGCCACCCATGGGCCCTACCGAGGAGGTGGGTGTCGACGGTGTGGCGGACATGGAGGCCATCTTGTGCTTGAGATCGGGAAAAGTTTCGATGACCAGATCCCGGAACTCCAGCAGGGCACCGACCTCGTGCTGCAGCTCCTGCAGCGACTTGGTCTGCTCGCTGTGGATATTGTGATGGCTGCCGTAGCTGTTGCTGTAGGGCGTATGGTGGCTAAGATGGTGGTGGTGCAGGTGGTGCGGGTATGTGGCCCCTACGACCACGGTCGCTGTGGGCGAGGCGGCGACCGCTCCTCCCGCCGCCGCTGCCGCCACTGCACTTGCCATCAGATGGGGATGGTGGGCACTGCTGCTCATCGGCAGGCACTCCATGGCCCCGCTGGCCAGGTCTGTGCTGCGCAAGGGTCCAACGAGATGGTGATGATTCCCGCTTCCGTTTCCGTTACCTTGGCTGAGGTGGCTGATGCAGCTTCCGTCCGTTTTGCTGATGCCATGCGTTGCGGGTAGTTCGAAGCCTTCATTCTGTAAAGAAAGGAGATGTCAGTTGATAGATTCCACCAAGTAGTCTGTGGAATAGTTGACAATAAATTTAAAAAAATCCCCAAAGATACAAATTTTAAAATATATTCCTATTTTGGGCATATTTTTAGAGGGTTCCTATGCAGTCAAACCCAACACCATGACTCCCTTTAAGGTTAACCGCATCATCTTTCGCGACCTCCGCTTGTTGTCTCAGATTTCCAAACCGATTTGTAAGTATTGAGTGAACATGATCGAACTTATTCATTAATTAATCAAATCGTTCAATGAAAATCATGCATCAGTTCAGATCAGTTCAAAGTTTATGCATACGAATGCCATTATGAAACATTCTGTCAAACCATTAATTTACATAAAACATTTCTCAACGGTAAGCATCACCATACTCATTTTTTCCGGCTAAAAAAATGTCTACATTTTCCTTCAATATTTGACTCACGCATGGGTGGAGAAAATCGAATGAATCATTGTTGTTTGGGTTTTTTGATGGTCAAGTGCGATGGGCGGGAGGTCGAGCCTATAGATCACCAGTCATTATCGAGAGCTTTACATAAAGGCCCAGTGGGACTGGCCGTTAATTACTTGAGAGAAAACAAAACGCATTGCGTTGCATCGAGTAAATTGAATTGATCGCCTCATGGTGGGGCAATCGCTGGGGGAGCCAGCCATGGTGGAGTTCAGGAGCAGTGCGAACGATTAGTGAATGACATACAAATTATGATTGATGAATTGCATCTCAGAGGCACGATCGCCCGCTGGCTGGCGACCCGCGGAGAAAACTGTAGCAAAAGTGCAGCTTAATGCAACACACTCAGACAAAGCTAGACTAACAGCAACATCTGTAAGTGCAACACCAATCGAAGCAGCAATTTGTGACAATCACGCTGTTTGTTTGTCCCAGACCATGACTATTCGATCCACCAAAGTCAATGGACCGACTCAGGCCCAGGCTTAAACCTCAAACAAACTCCAAACTAGAACAGGCCACAGATGGCCGGGTCGGGCCAAAGTAAAAGTCGTTTTTCTTTTCCCCTTTTTTCCAGCATCTGCTCTGGAAAAGCAACCAGGAAACTGCACGCCAAAAAATAGTAGACTGTAGAGCGGTCATAAAGAACTTAATATTTATGACTCTTCAAGCTATGCAGGGGACTGCCAAGTCTATATATTTGCATTATAAATATTTCAATAGAATATGCTTTTAAAAAACTATTTCTCTCTGTTTAGAATTTGTTTGTCAACCGGGTGGAAAGCTTTCACTGAACGAGAATGTTTCTCGAGCAGCGGCAACTCAATTGATTGGCAAAATACTTTCACATGCAATAAACATAAATTTGCCTGGCGGCCTGGCAGCCTGGCAGCAGTTTTGTCGGCCGGCTGGCTATTGATCAAACAAACGTTGGCGAGTGCCATGTACCGTGCTATCCACAATCCACAATATGTGGCAATAGTTGAGGGGGCAGGGCATAGAAAGAAAAACCAGGCAACTGGGTTGACTCTCTTGTTCTCGACCGGTAAGAAAAAGTAAAAGAGACGAGACTCTAGACTTGAAGTCTTGGGTAAAAAGAAAAATAACTTTGTTGATTGCATGCAGCCTGATAGACGGTCGGAAATGTTGGTCAGCAGGCAGCCTAATGGCAAAATCATTGCAAATGAAGCATGAAAATTGGCCCACATTCACATGACTTGGCTGGGCCATTTCATTATTTAATAGCTAATTAACGGCGAGGGGCCCACAGGAAGCATAACTCATAATTTCACGGCTTGCATAATAATCTCAATGCACTTTTCCTACCACTTTTTTCACCATTTCTGTGTTTTGTATTTTTTTCCATTTTGGCCGACTTGCCTGTCGAGCGTGGCGAACATCAAAGCTTGGGAAGTGGCAGAGAAGTCACATTGAAGATCGTGTAATTATATAGTAAAATCCATTGTCAACCGCGAAATTGAAACCGAACAATTCAAAACTCGTCTCTGTCACTCAAAAAAAGACTAGAGAGCGAGAGGCTAAGCTTAAAAAACCGCTGCTTAATGTCGGGGACTGTCAGTCATATCCATTCGAGTAGTGCTATTGGCTTTATGAATTCGGAGCTTCATTGCTCAATTAACTTGTGGATCTGGCCTTTTGGCCCGACGGCCCGAAACTAGCCAAAGAGGGGCTCGACTTGTGGCCTCACAATAACAAAATTTCAAACTCATATTGTATACTGCGGCCGTCACATACAATGCCTTTCAGATACACACCACATATGCAAATCACTGGCAGTCGACTATAGACACAAGTGCTTCCTTGTCACTCGAACGAGGCGTCTGTCACTGTTTCTTATTTTTTGAAGTTTCTTTTTTTAAAAGTTGTATCTTCTCGAGCTGCGCCTCGTTGGAGATATGAATGGGTGGCTGTTGCACAGTGGGCTCAAATCCTAAACCTTAATAGAGTACTATTCTTGGAGGTATTTTAAAATACTTTACAAGGTTCTAGTTGTAAAATATCATTAGTAATAAGATGTAATTTTTTTTTTTGCTTTCCATTAATTGTAGAACAACCCACTGTGTGCCATGAACCCAATCAACTCAACATCATCATCATGCCGCGCTCGTTGTTGCCGCTGCCATCGTGGGCGCAAACTATCATCTCCTCGCAGCTGCCACGCATTGCTGATTCTCCAACGTTTATTACTCGCCGGCAATTGGGTTGATCATCATCAGCATTGTGCACCATGACAGACGAGAAAAAAACGTAATAAAAATATAAAAAACCGACTAGCAGAGACGCACTTGGCCTGGGCGACAGAGCCGCTCAATTAGGCTGCCCACCACTCGAGTACTAGTCGGAAAGGTTTTTGGGCTTGCCTTGGGCTGATTAGAAGAACAGCCAACACACTGCGGTGTGATATCTTCCCACCGAACAGCAGAAGATTCGACAACCACATGCAGGTGGGGAAACGCATATGCCAGTTCCTCAATGTGCCTGACACCACAGCAATTAACAGACAAGTTTCGCAACAAATCCAACCAGCTAGTGTTCAATCGCAGAACTTTTGCTGAAAGTCATGGCTAAATTTTGAGGCAAAAAATCAATCATCTAAACAATGACAAATGCCAAAACGTAACCGTACTTTCATAACCATTATTCTTGGTTTCGTTTCTATTATTTCCCCTGGTTTCTTGAGTAGTTCGAGGGTTATGGTTGTTTCTCTTGCCCCCACGTCTTGTTTGATCGATTTTTGGTGCCACCTTTGCGTATACGTAATATTCCGCGCCACTGCTAAGCCCCAACTTGAAAGCGTTTTCACTGCACTTTGTTTGTTCGTGACACTTAATTCCTAGTTCTTCTTCCCGGCATTAATCTATTTTTGAAACTTAAAAGGGTAGTAAAACATTGACCACAAAATATCCATTATTATTTGTTAGGTATGTTCCGTTTACTAGATCGTGGGCTTGGTTTATCAGGTCAGAGGGATCATAAAGCTGAAAATACCCGAAAAGTTTGAACCTAAAGCAGATGTTTGCAGTGATCGGAGTTTTTAGTGAATCATAAATTCGCTAATGAAGCACTGATCGTAAAAGAGAGCTTTGTGGGGTCTTTGATTTTTATTGTTTGGACAGCCTGCCGGAATATGGATGTATTGCCTTGGAGAAATTCACATTTCTTTGATGGGTTGTTCGATGGTTTTAATTAAGGTTTGGCATGCAAAGCTCTCGGCGTGGCAAACAACAGATATTTTGGAAGTGCAACCTTATCCTCCAGCCAACGCCGGCCCGCCCCTTTATTACAATTAGTGACGGGTGGTTTGCATAACACTCCAATATGTGTGCACTTATGGGGATGCCTATATGCATGTACTGACGAAGTATAATTATGGATGTAAAGCCCTCTGGTCCAGACCGGCGAGGCGAAACTGGCGGTACTGCATGGATCGGGAGCGCTTATTAATTACCCGACCCACGAAACGAATCGAATCGAAACCGGGCATGACTTATGGCGTTTTGAACAGTCATCGTTCGGCACATTGACTACGCCAATTTATAGTCGCATGTATTTTCAATTCCAATTCAATTTCAATGCAGCCAAGGCATGTTGGCGTCTGGGTTTGGCCACCAGACTCCTAACAGCCTATGACTGTTACTGTGACTATGAATGTGACGCAACTTGGAACAGGGTCTCTGGGGTCTTAGTCTGGGGGCATTGTGCGTTTTCCGACTCTGACAGCGAGTTAGATACATTAAAAGACAATTGCGATTGCCCCGGGCCTGGCCGGGTGTATGTTTGCTATCTAAGCCATCTGCAAAGCCCACTTTTGGCCACGCCAAAAAAAATATACAGAAATTGTAAGAAAAATAAATAATAATAAAAACCCCGCCATAAGCCATTTCCCATTAGGCGTCATTAGTTTGCCTTTTTGAGTTGTTGGCTTGGGTGTTTCTTTTTTAATTTTGTACAATACTTAGGCATTAACAAAACAACGAAAATTTTGGCGCTCACCAAAAAGGTTCGGAACAACAGAGCAAATTGCCGGACTGTGTGGCGTTTGCAACACATTTTCCTCCATATGTGGCAACCACCGAAATAATTGTCTAATGTGTTTGGTGCTTGAGAGCTTTGGTAATCGTCGCAGCAGTCAACGGAACGCAAGTGTTGTAATTAAATTAAACAATTTTTCGGTTGTGTTGTTCGAGGCTTCACAAAAGCTGCCAAAAAACAACACTCCAAGTTGTAAAGGAGCTGGAGCTGGAGCTGTTGTTGCAAGCCACACTTACAACAGCTGTTGCAATGTAAATCGTCGTCTGTCAAATTTCCTCTTTAAGTGTTTACCTTTTTTTTTTTTATTTTTTCCCTAGTCCCTAGCTTTTTCTTGTAATTGTCTCAATTATTTGTTCATTTTTGTAAAGTTTTTAAGATAAGATATTTCTTTCGTTAACTCTTGCCTATAAAATCAATTCATCCGGCCGTGTGCCGGAGTTTTCTACTCTGGTTCGTCAACTTT